AGAGTCAAGGAGTATGGACCGCCCAAGGAACTGTTGAGGAGACGTGATGTATCACTGTTCTATAAGCTTGCGGAACAAGCAGGGGAGGTCTGAGGTGTAAAATAGAGAGATGATGAAGAGAATAGAATAGCAATAAACAACAATGTAAAGGTATACTGGTAGAGGGCATATTTTGTTGTCCAGCCAGTTCCTTACAATATTTACAATAGAGGTACTTCATATCGCAACAATGTAGTACAGGTGTTATAGAAGTGAACAAGAACCGTAATGGCATATTGGTAAGCAAATGCACAGGTGCATTGAATTTTTTTCTACGACGGGATCTAAACACATACGTTTTGTGGCCAAAGGGCTGTCACACCAGTTTACGGGAGCATGAGAAAAAAAGACAAAAAAAAGGTGCAGAGCAAGATGTAGCTTGCATGATATCGGACAAAGTTCAAACAATGGTTGCCTTCAGTAAGAAAGAAAAACAAACATTTACTCACAACAATATCAAGATGAGCATGAATATGAGCATGAACATGTAGAACATGATTGCTTTAAAATTTCTTTCTAGCTCTTTCTGTTTGCTGTTAGAGAAACTACATTATTTCAATCTGCAACCAATGTGGCACTGTGTCTGTTGAAAATAAAAGTTCAATATGATCTCGTATGCTTCATAGCAATGCGGCATAGCCTCCAGCTAAGACTCCTATGGGAGATAAGGCGTAGTTTGAACTAATTGTAGACTCTCTATTACCTTCCAGTTATTCCTTCTTCAAACGACAGGATGCTGTCTGTCTGATGAATATGATCGATTAATTTCAGGGGATAGGAAGGAAAATTACACTTGAGGTTTGTAAATTTATTGGGTGGAGATATTGTTGGGAACCCAACTGTTTTTAAACAACCTTGATCCCACTTTGCTTTCGCGCCCTCTATCGGACTGGTGCGATCTTCATATGAATCTTTTTTTACCCTTCCTAAACCCTGGCTCCAGTTCTTCTCTCATTTGCTTTCTTCCTTCCATCTTGTTGCATATTTCAATATGCAATATAATAATGGTCCGACTAAAAAACTAGGAAGATCTTAAAAAAATACACACTAGAGAAATTTCAACTGAAATAGTACGATAAAAAATAAAACTAGCAGTAGAAACTAGTGGCAATAACGCGTCACACTAAGACGCGACAAATCTTTGACACGAGAACCCATGTTGTCTTATAGATATGTAGTTATCTGGTACAAGTCCCTCTACCAGAAATGAATAAAGTAATCCATGGGTGTAGTGTGTGGACCCACATCTTATTCTCACTTACTTTTCGACTGTCTACTATCTATCTGAAAATATTTTTCATATCTTTCCTTCCCTTTTCTCTTATCCCTCGCTTTTATTTTCAGCTTTAGAGCTTTCTGGTTCTTACATCAACTATATATCCTACCTATATACAATAGTTTATTTTGTTATTTAAGGCGGGTGATATGACTATATGATACAGAGTTTCCTTATATGCACTGGGCCTTCCATTTTATGATTATGATGTCCTTTTTCTTCACTGCCAACTTGAAGGTAAGTGTGGTTATTACTATGCGTTCTTTGATACAATATTCTTTCTTCTATTTCTCTGAGGCCTCTAACCGTTGTGAATATCCTATAAATGCATGCGCAAAGTAGCTTTAATGGTCCATTAAGAGCGGATTTTTCTTTTTTTTTTAAAAAAAAAAAAAAAAAAAAAAAAAATCTTTTTTAGCGCTTATCAATGTGGCATTCGCGAAGCGTGATGATGGATGGTGAATTTAATCGCGTCTGAAATACATTGATGCAGAAGAAAATGTGTTCTATCATACCTTCGGTTACTACGAGACATACGGCTGCTTCCCTAGCGAGGCATATTTTCATAGCGACTAAGCAACAAACGAAAGCGTTTAAGAAAAGCTGGATGTTGACACCATTAAGGAAATGGGAAAAAATATGGCTAATGTGGATGAACACGTGAAGCAACTGCAGAAGCAGCTGAAGAACAGTAGGGAAGGCGATGAATCCGCATGCAGGAGCAGCAGGCGAAGCAATGAATGTGCATGTAGTAACTCAAGGAACTATTGCTTCAGTGCACTGCATAACAACGACTATAGTCACCCCTAGCCTTAAGGCATTAAAATGGATATATGTGTGTGTATTGGTATGATCTGCAGAAAACAAAAAAAAGGATCTCAATTTTACATTTCCACTGACCGCAGTCTAACAATGCCAGTGGAGTTCATTAAGACCCAAGGTAAATAATAAAAGTGCAATGCCTCCAATTCGAACTACAAATATCCGGACGATTTATTATCAAAATCGTCCGGATAAAAATAAAATTTTATTTAAGCTTTACAGACTCTGTGTTCAGGCGACAATGCACTTATCATTCCCCTTGAATGCACGAATATCATTCGGTCATTCCGACTCAGATTTGCATGTAAGGGAAGGATAAGTGCAATATTACCTGAACACATAGCCTGTAAAGCTTAGAACTTTATTTTTATCCGGACGATTTTAATAATAAATTCGAAGTTTGATTATACTCATTCTACGTGTTCCTGCGATCCAGTAAGGGAGACGCTGTCTTACCATAGAAAAAAGGGTCCTTACTGGGGATAAACATTGCAAATAATGACTGAAGCCCTCATTCTGAAAATTCAGAGCAATATTAAATGATACAGAAGATCCCTTCATAGTCCAGCGACCCTTTCCTTTGTAATCTTTCTCATTAATGATGCTCGAGCTACAGAATTACGCTTAAACTAAAAATAAACTTTTTTTTCTTTTAAAGTCCTCTGCTGACTGATCTCGTCCTACATCTTTCTTCTTTCTTTTTCAACGGCAAAGAAAAAGCATGCACCTTGGATGGCTGTGGATACTGGGCGTAAGACTTTCTTTGTCGTCTTCACGATGCATGATTGGTTTATTATGAGATCAATAAAATAATACTACGAAAACACTTTAGCTTTATTCTCTTCTTTCATTACCCAATCTCTTTTCTTCTTACCTACTTGGTCCTGGTGATGGAGCTGTCACGAACAGCAAACCATGTCGAGCTCATGAATTGATGAATGACTTTTTGTCTGTTTCAGAAAAGATCACGTGCGATTGATTAATTTGTTTCGGGTCCTCATAGGTCTGTCAAGCCAAGTCGCGTCTTCTGATCTTGGTTCTTTCAGTTATAAAGATAAAAATGAGCACCTTATTCATGGCGATAGTAATATGGGCATGGACATACAGAACACATGCAATGCCGTGATGCTACGCTGGCTTTTTTGAACTTTCTTTTTATTCGTTATTTATATTTTTTTTTAAAAAAAAAAGGTCTTTGTCCGCTTATTTGCAGTATGGGTATCATGTCTGTTGAAAATAAAAAAATAAAAATAAAAATAAAAATGAGCTTCCTCTAACCACGGATACCCCTTTGTGCTGACCAAAGATGGATATGGTGTACAATACTGCACTTAGTCCATACAAAGCTTATCAGGGGACATACACGATTCAACAGGTGATTTTTTTTTATCCGTATTCATCAGCAATTCATTGAGGTTGTAGCCCGTACTCCAATGCTTGAAAGCTATAAGTTCTATTTATTTAACCTTGAAGCCCCTTGGGCATGGAAGCTGGAGAGCACAAGTAGCGAATACCTTTTGCCTAGATTTCTGAACGATCCAGAACAATGGAAGTTACTTTGGGTATGAAAATAGTCTACAGATTAAACACATGTTAAATAAATTTTCTGAGAATGGAAAAAGATCATACATGTCAAGAATACATTGTTTTTTTGGATTGTGCTAACCAAGCAAGAAGTGAGTTGCTGAGATGACATGCAAATTTGCGAAAAGGAAAGAGTCTGGTTACACATCATCCCGTATCTGCTCCCTCCAAAAAAAAAAAAAAAAAAAAAAAAAAAAAATCCTCCATATTTTCCTTACAACTAGATACCTCCTCCATTCCTCGGCTTCATCGCCCTCCTGCTCAAGTAGCTTCCATCTTCTTTTCTTCTCTTCACTCTATTAACAGCCGTTTAGGAACTGAAAGCCTACTGTTGTCTATCTTACGTTATTTGCATTGTGCTTGTTATATCAAATACTTCTTCGGTCCAATGCATCCTTCCCAACAACCCAACGACCCTGCTCAGGAATGGATAGCATTCTTGATGATTCATGGAGGCCATTTTCTCACTCTTGGCTGTCCCGCCATGATTGCTACAGTCATTTTTATTATCCGCATCCGTTGGTTGAAGCAAAACAAGACGCCACATTCTTATGGCCGAACGGGCTTGATCTATTGGCCTACTCAACTCTTCATCCTCTGTGCTTGCTTTTCTCTGTTGGGCCTGGCAATTACTTTGGCCACCGGGCCTTATATAGCTTCTGCTGACGGCCTTCTCGGAAGCGCCATGTGGGTATGGCTTGCTTGGGTACGTAAAAAAAAAAAAAAAAAAAAAGAAAAGCGAAAAAAGATAGCACTGTAATGTCATTCATAATATCAATATTATCTTTGTCAGCCTATCCTTTTGCGGAAAATTCTTATTGCTAAATAATGGCTGTGCTGTGCTTTAAAAGATGCATACATGCAAGGTATTCTCGAAATTTTTGTCATTTTCTTACGATATGGGGACTTCATTGTTTTGTAAGGTTTTAATCAATACAGGCTTTGTTGCTGTTGCGTCCGTGTGGTGTGGCTGAAACAAGCCTTATTTTAGAGCTTGGAAGCAAGCTTGCCAGGGAATGGATAATGTCAATGGGGAGGGAGTAAAAGTCGAGACAGAAAGTTAAGATCAAAACCCCTTTGCCTATTACTGTGCGTTTAGTTGAATGTGTGGATCCAAAAAATGCGCAGTAACAGAGAATGAGGCCCATGCACAGCACATAAAATTAAACTTGTTGAGTAAACAGAAAACTGTTATCGGCTCAAGAATCTAACCTAGCCCTTTTTTATTTTTATTTTATTTTTACAATATCTCGTTCTTATACTTGTGCAGACAACAGCAATGGCTTTGAATACAAACGAGCATCGCTTCGAGGTTCGGTCATCAGATTACTTGTTCCTCTACTACTTGGTGACACTTCTAGGCAGCTTGCTCTCACTCTTTATCCTGAATGATGGCTTCGATATCCCTCCGCTCAACGTCCTAGATGTAGAACTGGAATACAATATCAACAATGCTATTGTCGCCAACGGGAAACCAGGCCCACCTCCTATCATTGACTTCAAACTAGAGCCGCTACGATACCTTCTCGCCTTCACTGGATCCATCGCGCTCGCATTCTTCTTTGAAGCCTTGCCTAGAGGTCACACTCGTGTCCAACGCGTTAGCCGTGAGCAGGAGAATCTGTCTAGAATGGACCAAGCAAATCTATTTTCGAGACTGATCTTCCATTATGCACAACCTATGATGTCCCTCGGTGCCAGAAAGATCTTGACTCCCAAGGACGTGGAAGAACCAATGCCGGTAGCTCTAAAAACTCATTCGAACTATGAGGCTGTATCAGCTACATGGGAAAAATGTTTAGAGCGATACCAAAGTAAACATAGCAAGCATCAAAAGAGTAGAAACAAGATCGAAAATGAGAGAAAGAGAGAGCATGGTAGCAGCAAGAAGACATACTTCGAGTCAGACCCCATCACACTCCAAGGAGGCCCATCATTAATTCTCACAGTATTATATGCATACAAGTGGCGCGTTTTCTTTGCCATGGCCATCCGTCTATTGAGCTATGCGCTCCGGTATGTCCCTATTTATTTATTTAGTCACCTACTACGATTCTTTGCAGATTATTCTGAGGCTGTCAAAAAACATTTACCGCACCCAGCAATCACCAATGGCATCTTAATCTCCGTGGGGATCTTTGCAGGAACATTTTTCAGTGGATTGTTCCTGTCCATGTCCTCGAATGCGTGCTCATATTTGGGTATTGAGATCCGCGGTGCTTTAGTAGCTATGATCTACAGAAAGTCGTTGAAGCTGTCACCACACGCAAGGAGTAAATCGACATTAGGTGAAATCAGTAAGTCTTTAGTCCCGCCGCCCTACAATTGAGCTCTTGATAGCCTGGTTGATGCATTCAAGATATGAAATGGTGTTGACTCTTTACTTATCACTCTGTCTATCTGTTAGGCAATCTTATGGCCGTTGATGCTGAGAGTTGGATGGTGGCCCCTAATTTCCTACCATTGACGCTCACTATCCCATTTGAGATTGCAATCGCTGTTTTCTTACTCTATCGGCTGCTAGGCTGGTCCTTAGTTGCGGGTTTGGCAGTGTTTGCGATCATTATGCCAATCCAGACTAAGATGGCTGGCCTCCTCCACTCGCATCAACGAGAGAAACTCAAAGTCGCAGATAAGCGCTTAGGACTTATGACTGAGATCCTTGCGAACATCAAGATTGTTAAGCTTCAAGCTTGGTACGTCTAAGAAGGAAAAAAGAAAAAAAAAAAAAAAAAACCTCTTTACACATTCTCAAGACAAAGTTGTTGACGTGCACCCTATTTTTTTTTTTTTTTTTTTTTTTTTTTACATTGCTTTCACTTTTCATTGCCACTTGTCCAACAAATGTATTTCACAGGGAAGATGCCTTCCATCGAAAAATTGACAGTCTACGCTCTCAAGAACTTGGTGCACAGAGGGCCTTGGCCACTGTCCGCGCTTTTTTGGTAATCGTCTTCTCGTCCGCCATCCTGTTGATCGCGCTTGCAACATTCTCTGTTTATGCTTATTGGGGAGGACCTGGCTTCACACCTGCCAAAGTAACTCCTGAGATTGTCTTTGTCGGGATTACTCTCTTCATAACAATGGGCCGCCCTATGGGCCTAGTCCCGCAGGCTATTTCACATGTGATCATGCTGAGAAGTGCCAATGGCAGAATTCGAAAGTTTTTACTGCTTGAAGAAATCGATTCCACAGCAGTGGAGCGGTATAGCCCTCAAGATTCACCTGCAGAACTAGCTGCGGCATCATCGACTCTGGCTTCTCCTTCTTCAAAGACTGTGGATGGAAAATGGGTGGCAGTCGAGATTGAGAACGGAACATTTACATGGGGGAGGGCAGCAGGCGAAGACTTTGGTGCGGCTACTGTTGCTCCTGCTGAGATAACAGCAAGTCTATCCGAGGAACAGGCAGCACAACAACCTTTGTTGGGTTCTAAACCGCAAGCAACATATTCTTCGTCCGCATCATCTACGCCTAATCGTCCCACTCTCATGAATATTACTGTACAGATCCCTCGTGGCCACTTGACTGCTATTGTCGGACGGATTGGCCAAGGCAAGTCCACGATTCTCTCTGCCATAATCGGCGAAATGTACAAGCTCCAAGGTGCTGTCAGAGTATTTGGAAACCTGGCATATGTTCCGCAACAAGCATGGATCATCAATGCGACTCTTCGGAACAATGTTCTATTTGGCAAACCCTTTATACAAGATAAATATGATCACATCATCATGGCTGCTGGACTCATTCCAGATATCGAGATGCTCCCAGCAGGCGACTCGACAGAAATTGGGGAGCGTGGAATAAATCTATCAGGAGGCCAGAAACAACGAATTGCATTGGCACGCGCAGCCTATCAAGATGCAGATATTTACTTGCTAGACGACCCTTTGAGCGCTGTGGATGCTCATGTAGATCAACATCTGTGGCAGCACTTGATTGGGCCTAATGGACTCTTGAAGGACAAGACCAGGCTACTAGTGACACATGGGATCCACCATTTGGAATATGTAGACCAGATCATAGTACTAAATGATGGAAGAGTCACCGAGACAGGAGAGTACCAAGAGCTAATGCGAGCCAAGGAAGCGTTCTATCAACTGATTACAGACTATTCAGTTCAAGAAAAGAAGAAGCAGCAGGCACAACTTCTGGCGCTAGAACATGAGCAACAACAGCGGATAGCATCTGAGTCCATCGGGGATATCGACAAAAATACTTCAACGGAAGCCAGAGAAGTATTTACAAAGCAACCTGATACTGTAATGGGTGCTAGACCTGAAAACGGCGAAGCTAAACAGGATGCAGATATGGCCGCGACTGACCACAGTTGCAACAGCAGCATAAAGTGCAAGGGAGATCTCATTGGTATGGAGAATCTTGAAGTCGGCAACGTTGGGTGGGGGGCCTACTGGGAGTATGCCAAAGCTATGTAAGTATCGCTCGTTCGCTTGGCTCAGTTCATATTCTTTAAGAATAGAGGACCCTTGTGGTTGATATTGAATCCTTTATCTGTTACTGACTATTTCATACTCGTTAATACATTGCTAGTTCGCTTCGTCAGGCCTGTATTTGCTTACTCCTGTATACACTCGCCCAGGGTTGTCAGATCAGTACTAGCTTTTGGCTTCGTTACTGGGTCACACAAGAAGAGAAACAAAGCTCGGATCGCCATTCGACTGCTTTTTACTTGAGTGGATATGCGCTCTTGGTTGCCGTATATATAGCTATGGATGTCACGGTCAGCTATATGACCAATGTTACTTGTGGTATCCAAGGCGCCAAGGCTTTGCACGATGGGTTATTGGTGCGTGTATTGCGCATGCCCATGAGTTTCTTTGACACCACTCCGTAAGATTGACTTGATTACTCTCTTTGAATGCTAAACATATATAGTATTAAGCACGTCATATCTAACCCATGTATGGTATTTTATTTCCAACTGTCTCATCTTCGATGGGTAGCATGGGGCGGATAGTCAACAGGTTTTCATCAGATGTAACAGCTGTGGACAGTCAGATTCCTGAACAGCTGCCTGCTCTACTCGGTTGGATATTCACGTCGCTAGGGATCATTGCTGTCATCGCTTATTCAACCCTGCAATTCCTCATCGCTGTAATCCCATTGACAATCATTTTCCTTATGATTCAGGCCTATTACATCCGCACTAGCAGTCAACTCAAACGTTTCCAATCTGCCGCAAAATCACCACTCTATCAGCACTTCAGTGAATCACTTGCAGGTGTATCCATCATTCGTTGCCAGACAGGACTGGTAACACAGTTCATTATTGAGAATGAGAGGCGATCAGACAGTTATGCTCAAGCAAGCAATCTGTTCCTACTGACAAATCGATGGCTCACAATCCGGACACAGGTGATCTGTGCTCTAGCAGTCTTTCTGACCGCTGCGTTGGCTGTACTAAATGCAGATCGATTGGACCCGAGTCTTGTGGGATTAGCATTGAGCTATGCACTGAATCTATCCAATGTAATTGCAATCTTGGTACGAACCTCCGGGGATGTCCAGAATCAGTTTGTAAGTGTGGAGCGGATCCAAGAATACTCACATAAGCCAACTGAGGCGCCTTTGGAGACCCATGTACATCTTCCAGAAGACTGGCCAAGCGAGGGCAAGATTTCATTCAACAATTTTTCTGCACGCTATAGAGAGGGACTTGATCTGTGTATCAAACATGCCACCTTTACAGTAGAACCTCAGCAAAAAGTAGGAGTTGTTGGAAGAACAGGTGCAGGCAAGTCTTCACTGACATTGGCGCTGTTCAGGCTAATTGAGGCTGCAGACTCATATTGGGCCAAAGCTAGTGATCCATCTGCTCCGAAGGAACTGTTGGCAACATCGTCGTCTGATCCATTGGATACCAATTCATTGCTTGTCAGCTATGGTCGAGACATTGATGGTGGTGTAATTGCAATTGATGGAGTGGACATCTCCACCTTAGGTCTGAGAGATTTGAGAAGACATCTGTCCATCATCCCCCAAGAGCCGACTCTGTTTGCTGGCACTATCCGCGACAACCTGGATCCGTTCCACGAGTTGGAAGATGCTGATCTATGGGAAGCCTTGGACCGTGCTCATCTGAAGGGGTTCATTTCGTCGCTTGCAGGTGGACTGTCCTCTGAGGTTGCACAAAATGGCGACAACTTCTCATTTGGGCAGCGAGCCTTGGTCTGTCTTGCAAGAGCTCTGCTGAAGAAGACAAAGATCTTGGTGTTAGATGAAGCAACAGCAGCAGTGGATGTGGAGACAGATGAGATGATCCAGCGGACAATCCGAGAGGCGTTTAAAGATCGGACAGTGATTACGATTGCACACCGGATCAAGACAGTGATGGACTCGGACATGATCCTGGTGATGGAACAAGGAAGAGTCAAGGAGTATGGACCGCCCAAGGAACTGTTGAGGAGACGTGATGTATCACTGTTCTATAAGCTTGCGGAACAAGCAGGGGAGGTCTGAGGTGTAAAATAGAGAGATGATGAAGAGAATAGAATAGCAATAAACAACAATGTAAAGGTATACTGATAGAGGGCGTATTTTGACATTTAGTCGGTCTCTTACAAACTTACTGTGGTGTAAATGGTTATGATCGCAAGCGAATGCACAGGTGCTTTGATCTCTTTCATTCGACAAGATTGTAACACATACACATGGACATGAATAAACAACAATGCTGAATATGGTTTTGTGGCCAAAGGGGCTGTCACACCAGCTTACGCATGAGGAAAAAAAAAGTCAAAAAAAAGGTTCAAAAGTAACATGCAGCTTGCATGCATAGCATTGGACTAAATTCAAGCAATGACAGCCCTTGGTAACGAAAGGAAAATAGGCATTTTACTCACAACAATATCAGCATGAACATGAGCAGGAACATACAGAGCGCATGAAATGTCGCAATCTAATGATCGCTTTAAAAAATTTTCTAGTTCTTTCTGTTCGCTTTGAAAACTACATTATTTCTCCCTGCATCATACGGTGTGGCACGGTGTCTGTTGAAAAAATATTGTGCCCCTTTCTTTTTCCTTTGTGAATTCAAAACAGCAAAAATATTTTTTACATCTATTGTATCACAAGCTCCTATATCAAGGGGTTAGCAAAAGTTCAATATGATCTCGTATGCTTCTCAGCAACGCGGTATGGCCTCCAGCTTTGAGCCACGGGCGGTAAGGCGTTGTTTGAACTAATTGTAGACTCTATTATTTTCCAGTTGTTCCTTCTTCAACCGACAAAATGATGCCTGTCTGATGAGTACGATCGATCGATTTCAGGGGATGGATATAATGGAAACTTTAAAAATTTAAAATCGAGTGACGAAAGCGGAAAATCACACCGCTCCCATGTAATGCATCATTAAATTTATTGGATGGGAGATCAATTGTTGGGAGCCCAACTCTTTTTTTTAAAAACCTTGATCTCACTTTGCATTCGCCTCTCTTTTGATTAGCAAGTTGTACCCTGACGGACCGGTGCGATCCATCTTTAGTTAATCTTTTTTTACCCTTCCCATATCCTGGCTCCAAACCTTCTCCTTTGCTCTCTTCTTTCCATCTTTCATTTTTTTTTTTTTTTTTTTTTTTTTTTTCCTCTCTCTCTTTCCTTATTTCTCTTAGCTTCTCTTGCTCTTTATTTTCGCCTTTGGCGCTCTCTTTTTCTTTCATCAATCATTTACTCTACTTAAATAATCCATTATTATGGATGGCTTCAATGATGGATTTGCGAGGCAAGGACGGCACCGATTGCCGAGCGATGAATCAATATCTGAAGATATTGCTCCCTTTGTCCATAATGCTCCTACTACCAGCAATGCTGCTGATACAACTACTCGTAAGCATTCATCTTCTGGCCACACGCAACCACTGCGCACAATCGCGCCATCCGTCCTGTCTTCACCTGTTCAAGATTATCATCTGTATACTCCTCGAAGACCCACTATTACCTCTACAATTGCTACCAGCAGCAGCGACGGCAGTCTCACCACTAAATTAAGTAACTTCCTATCTCCTCAATATACTCCATTAATACCAGCATCATCGAGTACAGGCAAATCATCTTCATCACATCTCTCATCTAATAATGCAGCTCTACGATATATACCATCCCGATCTAATACAATGGAGACAATTTTACTCATGAGCGACAGCAACCCTTCAATGGCTGTTCATAATTCTGCACGTCCCACCGCTGCCAGCCCAAGCCCAACTAGGGTTGGTGACACAAGAATTTCCACTAAAGATATACTTTTAGAGATGCCCTCTGAAGGCAATAACGAGGATGAACATGTGGTTGTTACCCCAAGAAACGTTGGTGTCGTTCCTAGCCAACCTGTTGCAGACTCGTATGGCGAGCCTTCTCCACTATTACCATCATCACCAACGAAAGCAAAGCCTCCAAAACAATCTTCAGGACTATCACTATTCTCATCGCCTTTGTCCGCTTCCGAGATTGCAGAACGCTCCATTAATGATGAACCAAGGACACCACTACCCCAACTAACACATTCACCTAAAGATCGTCCTCAGGTGCCTGGAAGAATCAAATCTTCATCTTTCCGCAGTGAAGGTGATTGTATTCTTTTTGGAGGAATCAATGCGCCGGATCCCAGAATAGGTGCAACTCCCAACAGAGAAGATACCAACAACCACGCAAATGTGGCTGTGCACACTACCCAGAACTATGGAAGCAGCTCGAAAATACCATCCGTAGACGACTTTATTCATCTAGGGACTCGATACTTAAGACCATTGAGCATAAATCCGAATGGCAATACCAGGAATGCGCTCGAAAACGCCCAGCAACAGTTAGATAGAAGCCCATATAACCTCAGTCAGCTCAAACCGACATCGAGTTCGCCTCCATTTATGATTAGAGCAGCATCCCCTAATTCCGCTAAAAGTGGCGTAAATAATAAGCAAAAGCAGGTGGCCGATCCATCTAGCACTGGCTCTGAAATAATGGATAACGTTGATGAAACTTCAACTGTTGACTCTCATGGTAATCTATGTTGTATAAAATCTTATGTATATCTCCAAAGACATGTTACATATATTTGCTTATGACTAATGCTTTGATATAATGCTTCTACATGTAAATGTAAGGCATAAGATGGTACCCCGAACAGTCATCAGAAATAGAGGCCATCGGCAAGATTGGGACTACCAGCCAGCCACCCGTCGTTATTCCATTCAATAAAAGTTGGGAGGTAAGGCCATTAATGATATTACAATAACAGCATGTACAAATATGATAAATTTGAAGCTCATTTTTTCCTTGCTTATCTGTCATAAGTGCTTGCTTGAGACAGAGAAGATTGAATGTGGTTGGTACTCCATAATACTTGGCGTGACCCTCAGCTCTGGTTTTACTCACGAATCGGATACACTGAAAATCGAAGCAAAGCAACTTGATTCCTACGGGCGTAGTCCATTTGATGTAAGTATTTATAAACCCTCTCTTTTTATTTCTTTCCGCTTCTCCTCGGGTTGTGGTTTGTATATGTCCATATTTCTGGTCAACACTGATGTATATACCTTTCTTATGATGTGAACTAGTCAAAGCGTTATACTACCATCGTAAGGTCCGATGAGATCCGCCAAATCCGTATGTGATATTGATTAGTGTTCATCCCTGTAATTGATCATTTAGTCCGCTTTGTCCTCTATAGTATTAACTTTAGTCCTCTTTGGCCTTGCCAACATGTAATTTTAGAAAAAGGAACTTTTACAAGGCTAAGGCTGCACCGGCGGATTGAAGTAACCACTAGTGGACACATCGCGTTCTGGATCGATATGATAAATAATGATATATTAGAACGTCCGGGCTTGGAGCTGGAATACATTGAATTTGATGTAGGACACACAGAGCCACCAGGTAAGGGAGCAACCCTTTAGGTAACCATTTCCATGTTATACATGTAATCTGCTGAGAAGACGCTTACAGTGCATTTGACAACACACCTTTTGATGACACTGCAGAACTTGTCTTGTATGGTGAGCTCAACCCTGATTATATTATCGATGTGAGTCATGGCGGCAAGAATGCTTGGGACAGGACCAAGACAATACACTCGTATGCATTGAACTCCTGTGGATCGCACGCTGCCACACTGTACTTCACTAAAGATGGTGAAGGTATCATTGAGCTCTGGTCTCTTGGCTCCAATTCGTCCGAAGAACGACAAGGCAATACAGCAAAGAGGCAGACCAGCCTAGTCGCACAAGAGAAGATTGATTCATACAAAATCAGTAACCCGGAATTGATTGACATTTCTATATCAGTATCACATTCAGGAGAATCCATTGTTGTACACTCTGTTAAGTCGGCAGCAGGCGTCACTGCGCCAACTAGAGCAGTAGATAAGGCTGAAGACCTAAAAGACACAATACCATATCATAGCTTCAGCTATCACCCTTCTAATACTCCTGAGAAATTGAAGCTAGAAAACCCTTGCAAGAACCTTCAAGGCTTTTGCGGATACGGAAAGTTCCATTTGTGCTCTCTTAGTGACTACAAAGACAGCAGAGGGAATACGAATGAGCGCTACATCACTTGCGATGGATGCTCAGTCTCCGTCTACAGTACTGGCGAATACTGGCGGCTAATCAAGACTTTAGACATAACAAAGGAGCAAAACTTGGAGGCCGCATCGACATTAATCACGAGCTTACGCGGCAACTGCTTTGCATGGACTGGCAATAGAGGCGTGGTGACTTTCTGGGACATCGCAAGGATGAAGCAGATCTCATATATTAAAGTCACTGGCGGCGTCAATGGATCATCTGTCAGTTTGTCTGATGACGGGTCACTGGCGGCAATCTCTGTTAAGGGACGCATCAGTATCTATGAAACATTCTCAGGTGTGAAGCTAGGGGACTATTCTGAAGGTCAAAAACAGGACAAGAGGTTTGAGGTAGTCATGGATCGTGAGAACTTTATGGTTTTTAGCCGAAACTCCCCTGATGATGCAGGACAGCGAGCTGTTGAGCGCAAGATCGTAAGGATACACGATATGAAGGTCATTCGAACTTTCCCAATTCATAAGGATTATAGCCTCAGCTTCCCGAGTCCATTGAGGGATCAGTTCTTTGTCAATCAAGAGGTAGGGATGAACAGGCCAGCTCCTATTTGCGGAAAAGGATCGGGGAGCGCATATACCGCTACATAATTAACAACAATCTTTCTTCTTCCTTTACATCTTTTTCTCACGCCAATAGGGACCTATCGTTAATATCGTCAAAATGAGCATTGATGACATTTCCTCACCTGATACTATCAAGCCTGAATCATTAGAGGTTGAGAATTCTTGGGAATTTATCCATAATGATAAGCTGGAGTTTACATCCGATTCTGGCAACAAATTCGTTTTGGTTGCTAAGCCAGAAGTGATTCGTGATAACGAGTTGACTGTCCTCAACATCACTCGTGTTGATCCGACTGTATACTTGGAGCATCTCCCTGGAACACATCAACCTACAACTTCTAATGCAAGCAACACAGTAAAAGGAAAGGGCCTGGATATACCCCTAGGGCCTTCTGAATTGACTTATTCGTATATGTATTTGCCAGCTTCCTCAAGGCTTGTGTTAATAACAGGTCGATATATGCAAATGTGGCGACTGGTCGCAAAGAGAGAGTCGGAGCCATCGGAAGTTGCAAATTTGGAGCTTGTATGGGGGTTGCAGACAGAGGATGAGGTTAAAGATACTAAGGGCCCTAAGCATCAAAATAACGATCTTTGTATGTGCAAAATCACAAATGCCATGGCTAGCAAAGATGGAACGCAGTTTGCTTTGGAATTTGAGAGTACGACATGGCAGAAAGGATTCAAGAGATCATCAAAGCAGCAGCAGGACTCTATGCGTGCCAAGGTTAAGAAGCTCATCTACCCTTATCCTAGTGAGGGGAACTTCGATATCTCAGAAGAGAGCCGAATCTCGCAAGGCATCCGTAATATCATAGAAATGTATATTAGCGGCAGTACGGCGTGCCAAGAGACCATGATTCAGTACCTGAAGACTCTCATTCGACCAACCTCATATAATCCTGTGTACCCAGTCTCTTGTATTTTTACGCTGTGTGGCCTTTGGACATATGAGGAGCGAAAACCTTTAAAAAAGATCATGGAGGCATTGTTACCTCTAAACGAGATCACTTGGATCCCGGGATTCAGAGCCTGTACCATCCAGAAACGACATGACCCTCTTGAAGAGCTTTTCAAGACTAAAGAGGCGCAGCCTGCGGTCATGGGCGTTGCCAGTGTGATCATGGATTACTGTGTCCGCCATGCCAACAATTCTCGCAACCTATCCTTTTTGTCACCGATATTCGGATCATTGGAGCAAATCATGGCCATGTTCCCGGATAAAGCATTTGATTACCTTGAGCAAATAGCTTATATCCGAGCCAAGAAGCGGCATTATATTATCGATAATCACGAAATCGCCTACCCACCAATGTTTCGACTCAAATTTTGGAATCCACCATCATTACCATTGTCCAAAATAGAAGATCCGATTATGCAGCTTGATGTCTTGGCTAAAGAGCGCGATAATTCGAATAACCCATTTACGCAGCAAGTGTACATGGCTTCATTTGATGCACTCTGGTCTTATAAAACTGACACCGAGAATAAGGAAGCTGACCATGCTAATTCAAATAAGAATAAGGGAGCTGTTCTTACTGATTCAAATAAGGATAAGGAAGCTACGCATGCTAATTCGAATAAGGAAAAGGGAGTTGACCACGCCGACCCGAATAACAAGGGATCATCATGTCATGAAGAGCAGGCTTTGACAACGTGGTGGAAGTCATTGTACCACATGATTCTTCTTAAATTTCAGTTCAGAAATAAGCAACATGTCAAGTGCCACAATTTTAAGTGGGAGTTTTTTGATAATCCAGCCATTGCTGCTCTAGTCGCATACAAATGGTAAGCCTATCGTGAGCTCTGTTTAAGTTTTAGGTCGTTGTTATTGTTGCTGTTGTTGCTGATGTTGCTGATATTTATTGATTAAATCCTTTTGTCTCTCTCATGCCAATGCAAATAGGAACACGATTGGGTTCAATTATTGGCTTGGTAGATTCGCGTTCCAATGTGTGTATTATACTCTAGTCCTTATAGTTGCTTTCATACAGGTGTATTATACTGGCCAGTGGCGTACTCCACTTATCGGATTATTCATTGCGATCATCGTCATGTCTGTCGTCTTTATATGGCTTGAATTCTTGCAAGCACTCATGGATTGGAAGAGATACAGAAAGTAAGGACAAACATTAAATTTGCTGTGCAGAGTGTCTATTATTGAGAGCTATTTGGGTCTTAACATTGTTTTTCGTCCAATATCCTTGATGTCTAGGTCAATATATAATTCGATTGATATGTTTGCGTTTTTAATACCTATGGCTGCTGCTATCCATCAATTAGTTGTCATTTTCAATGACGACCAACATGGAAATACCAGGCTTGTCAGTTTCTCCGTCCTGGCTGTCTTCTTGCACATGGTAATATGCTTGTGTTTTTTTAAAAAAAAAAAAAAAAGCAATTGAGCGATGACGATCCATTACGAAAATCCTCAAACGCATTTTTTTTTTTTTCAAACAGTTGTTTGAGCTTAGAATCAACCAGATGGTATGCAAATATGTGACGATTATTCAGCAGGCTACTGAGGAGATCCAAGTCTTCTTTGTGATCTTTGCCGTAGGAGTGGTTGCGTTTACGATTGCGATGTTACATCTTCTTCACGCCTGTCCTATGGGTACATGTGAGCGAAATAATGATGAAGAATACTTTCCTATTCACTTTCTCGGAGCGCTTTCAGCAACATACTTTATGATGGTAAGCTACTTATATACAGATGTATTTTTTGTTTCCTCTGAACATACCGCCAGTTTATTCACTTGACTACTTTTTTTTTTTTTTTTTTTTTTTTAAAAAAAAAAAATTTAGGGTGGTCGATATGACTCTGTTGATACAGAGTTTTCTACTGAGGACTGGGCCTTTCATATTATGATGATGATATTCTTTTTCTTCACGGTCATCTTGATGATGAATGTGCTTATCGGTATGTGTTCTTTAACACATCTCTTTGATGTACTTTCAAAAAAAAAAAAAAAAAAAAAAAAAAAAATTTACGTTAACTAATTTTATTAATTTATTTTTTTTAAAAAAAAAAAAAAAAAAAAAAAAAAAAAAAAAAAAACACACAATAGCACTTATTAATGTGGCATTCTCAAAGGGCGACGATGGTTGGCAGTTAGCATGGGTTGAATCTCGTCTACGCTTCATTGAGGCAGCTGAAAACATGTCATACAATATCCCTGGATACCGCGAGACCTATAATTGCTTTCCGAAAGAAATATATTTTGCAGCAACTGAGGAAAAGGTGGAGAAGTATAAAAAGAAGCAAGATGTTAAAGATATCAGCAATGATGACAAGAAGGAGTCAAAGGAGTCTCAGGAGTTACAGATGATTAAGAAACTGCTGGAGCAGATGGAATCAAAATCGAATAGTAGACCGGCTAATACATAAAAATAAAATTGCCAGAGACTCTTTTGATTCGTGTTCATGTGATGGCCACTATATAAATGATATGATATCCACCCTTTACACTCCACTAACTCCCCAATAGAAGCTGATCTTTGGGAAAGACTTGTGAGAGGTTGTTGGAGAAAGCAACAGCAGCAATGGGTTTAAAGACTGAAGTGTGTGAATTGGACGCACAGGTACTTTTTCCTGACAAGAGACAAAAGACAGTCCTGGCAATAGCCAATCTGCACTCCTTTTTTCTCCTCGGGATCTAGAGCTGTCTGTTAGTCTGTTAGTGTCCATGCACGGGTCTCTAGCGTTTTTTATTTTGTCGAATAGGGCAAATGTATCAATTCTGTGTTACAAACCTTTTTTTTTTTTTTTTTTTTTTTTTTTTGGCTCTGATTGTCGGTTAGAACACTCCCTTTCCCCATCTCACTTTTTTCTTTTCCTTCCCATACTCCAACCCTATTATCTTTTTTTTTTTTTTTTTTTTTTTTTCACACCTCTCTTTCTCTTTTTTTTTACACTTTTCTCCTCTTTAATTCTATCATGGCCAGTAGTTTCAAGGATCGGCTGACAAAACTAGGACGACGTCGATCACCAAGCGATGAATCTATTTCTGAGGATGGTCCTCCCCCTATCCATAATACTTCTACCACAAGCAATGCTGCTTACTCAACGACTCCTCAACACCCCTTTGCAGATCACACACGCCTACTGGGTACCATTGATCCTCAACCCACTTTTGTCTCTCCAGATGTAGCCAGCTACAACAACAACAACAACCTCACAACCACACTAAATAACACCCCTTCATTTAGCGAACAGCAGGATACCCCATCATCACCAATATCATCAAGCGCAGACATACCCTCTTCATTACATACCCCATCTAATAATGCAGCTCTAGAAACTATACCCTCTCGTTCTGTTCCAATGGATACGATTCTATCAATGGGTGATCCTTCTGCAACTGTTTATATTTCCGCACGTTCCACCACTGTTGATCGAAGCCCAATTGGAGAAAGTAACACAAGACTGTCTGATGTACGTTTGGAAATACCCTCTGAAGACAACAATGAGCCGGTCGCACTTTTGCCGACTATCCCAACAGGAGCAGCTAGGCCCAATCAGCCCAAAATTTTTGAAAACACTAGCCCGGCCGTACAGGCCTCCACTTCATCGCCTGGACCATCATCGTCAGTCGCACTGACCGATCTCCCTCTCCCTCCCAATAGCGATCATACCCTTTTTGAAGAGCCCAGTGCTTCAAACCTTAGGATAGATGTGAATCCCAACCGAGATGATCACCGCACCCACACAATTGCTGCTGGACACAGTATTCAGAATCAAGAAAATAGCTCTAAAACACCAACCGCAGATCGTCTTATTACTCCAGGAACTCGAGAGCTAAGCTCCTTGAACACAAGTCCGGAGGGCATTACCAGGAATACAGCTGAAAATGACCAGCAACAATTAGATGAAGGCCCATACAATCTCGCCCATCTGATACCGGCGCTGGAGCAGCCTTCAACCACAACTACAGTAACAACCCTAACTCCACCTATTGAAAAGAGAATATTTGCGGCTCCAGTGAATCCTTTGTGGTTACCGGCCGGTGCTGAAACAGCGACTAACATCGATAACATCACCCCTGTAGAACCACAAGGTAATTTAATATTAATATGATCAGTGTCCAATGACTCATCTTGTTCGTAGCTAACTAACTATGTCTGGATAGCAGCTGGGATGCTAGACATACGATGGTACTTTGAGCAATCATCCGACTTGGAAATCATAGGAAAGATTGGGACTATTCCTCAACCACCCACCACCATTCCGCCCAATCAAGACTGGCAGGTACGGTTACAGGTAACCATCATGGACAGACAACAAATGAGTTGATTTTGATATTCATTTCTTCTTTATTCGCCACTAGTGTTTACTTGAGGCGCGAGCAGTAGAGCGTGGCTGGTACTCTATAACGCTTGGCGTGACCCTCAGCTCTGAGTTTGCTCACGAGTCTGACACACTGAAAATCGAAGCGAAGCAACTAGATTACAATCGACGCGCTCTATACACTGTAAGTGCTTGCCAATCTTCCTCTCTGTTTCTGCTACTCTTCTACTCGTGATATGTTTTTGTTCATGTTTCTAACCGATCCTGCCACATATGTTTTTCTTCTTTTGCTGTAACTAGGCAAAGAACTGCACCACTATTGCAAGGATCGATGAGATCGGTCCAATTCGTATGTAGCATTGATTAGTGTTGATGCCTGTAAATGAGCAGGATCACTTAACCCACTTCCATCTTTATAGTATTGACTTTAGCTCTCTTTGGCTTTGACAACATTTGATTTTAGAAAAAGAGACTTTTACGAGACTAAGGTTGCATCGGCAGATTGAGATAAATACTGGCGGATACATCCTACTCTCGATCAACATGAAGAAAAATGATCTTTCAGGACTCATACTGCACTACGTTGAATTAGATGTAGGCCACACAGAATCACCAGGTATGGGAGCTTTCTTTGGAACAACCATTTTCGCTCTCAAACATCATTCAGTTAAGAAAGCGCTTGCAGTCTAGTTAACATCATACCTTTTGATGGTACTCTGCAGATCTTGTCTTGTACGGTGAACTCAAGCCTCATCATATCATCAGTGTGAAACATGTTGACAACAACTATCGGACCAGGACCAGGGCGATACATTCTTATGAACTAAATTCCGATGGATCATATGCTGTAACACTGTGCTTCACTGAAGATGGTCAAGGCACCATTGAACTTTGGTCGCTTCTTGAATCTGAGAAGCCTGAAGAGTCCCAAGATAGGCAAGATAGCAAACCGAGGAGACATACCACTCCAATTGGACGAGGGGTCATACATCCGCCTATGGCCAATCCTGATTTGATTGATATCTCTTTATCGGTATCACACTTGGGAAAGTATATCACCATTCACTCTATCGAAGCCACGACAAATACCTCTGCACCAGTTGGAACAGCAAGCGTGGCTGGAGATTCAACAAACACAATACCATGTCTTATCTTCAGCTACCCCCCTCTAGATCTATCGGGGAAGGATATTTTCCCTCGAAAACTGGACCCGATAGAGCCCTGTAAAGAGCTTCGAGGCTTTTGTGGCCATGGAAAGTTCCATTCATACTCTCTCACCAACAACCATGAAAATATGAAAGAATGCTACATCACTTCCGATGGATACTCAATCTCAATATACAATATTGATGGGCAGTGGTCATTAGCCAGCACCTTGCCCATGACTGTGGAGCAGAACCTGGAAGCAGCATTTGGAGTTATTACGAGCTTACGCGGCAATCACTTTGCATGGACCGGTAGCAGGGGCGTGGTATCCTTCTGGAACCTCGTGACGTTGAAACAGGTCTCGTACATCTCTGTCGATGGTGGGATCACTGGATCATATGCCAGTTTGTCTGGAGATAGGTCTCTAGCAGCAATCTCTGTTAAGGGATGCATCAGCATCTATGAAACAGCTTCGGGTATGAGACTTGGCGACTATACCGAAGGTCTAGGAGAGGATAAGCAGTTTGAGGTGGTGATGGATCGAGAGAACTTTATGATGTTTGACCAAAACCCTCCAAAGGATGCAGAAAGTCAGATTATTGAGCGTAAGATCATAAGAATACGAGATATGAAGGCCATTCGTACCTTCTCAATTCACAAGGATTACAGCCTCAACTTTCCGAGCCCACTGGAAGATCAAGTCTTTGTCTATCGACAGGTGAGGATGAGCAATTCAGCTTTCATCAGTGGAAAGGTCAATTGACAGGAGTATATTTCTATGACTGTATGGCTTAGAATTAGAATTGCATCTTTCTTTCACACCAATAGGGGTCTGTCATGAACTTCATCAAGTTAGATATTGGTGTCATTTCTTCGTCCGATGCTGTCGAATTCAAGATGAAGGGCTTGAAAAGAGCAAAGTTCGAGCAATTCGCTCACAACTTCAATCAAACATTTACGTCAGCGTCAGGTGCTACATTTATCATGGCCACCAGCGTGGCTGTGGTCAATAGCAACTGGTTAACAGTTGCCAACATTACTCGTGTCGATCCGACTGCGGAACAGCAGCCTCGTTCCCCTGTATCCTTTTCCCCCTCATTTTCAGATTCAGCCGTCATGAAAAAAGGGACGAGCCTGACAATACCGTTAGGGTCCTCACATTCAGTTTACTCCAGCATGTTTTTGCCAACATCCTCGCGACTTGTGTTGGTGACAGGTCGATATATGCAAGTGTGGCAATTACTTGCAGAAAATGATTCGGACTCGTTGGAGGTCGCAAAACTAGAGCTTGTGTGGGCATTGCAGGTAGAGGATAGCCGGAAACATAGAATGACCGATCTTTGTATTCGCAAGATTAGTAGTGCCATGGCTAGCAAAGATGGAATGCAATTTGCTTTGGTACTTGACCCGGCGGTATGGTATAGGAGATTCAAGGAACTACCAATAGACCCTATGCATTCCACAAAGAAGATAGTTACCTACCCACACTCTTCCATGGACGACCTCAACATCACGCAGGAGTACCGAATTTCCCAAGGGATCCGTGGTGCCATAGATCTGTATGCTGATGGTGATGGAACATGTCAGAGAGCCGTTATCCAATATCTAAAGACCCTTGTCCGGCCATCTTCTCAGAACCCAGTCTCTTGCATTTTCATATTATGTGAATTCTGGACATATGAGAATCGGGTTTTTTTGGAGCAGATTATGAAGGATTTGTTGCCTCCAACAAAGATCACTTGGATTCCAGACTTTGAGAGCACCTCTGCTCAAAGGTTCTATGACCCGCTTAAAAAGCTTTTCCAGATTGCAGAGACACAGCCTGCAGTCATTGGTGTTGCTAAAGTGATTATGGATTACTGTGTCAGTCATGCCAATAGTTCCCGTAATCTCTCATTCTTGACTCCTATTTTTGGATCGCTGAAGCAAGTCATGACCATGTTCCCAGAGCAAGCATTTGATTGTATTGAGCGAATAGCCTATATCCCAGCCAAGGAGCGATCTTATATCATCGATAACCACAAGATCGCCTATCCACCAATGTTTCGACTCAAATTCTGGGAACCACCCTCATTGTCATTATCCGAAATGGGTGATCCGATTATGCAACTACATGTAGTGGCTAAACAGCGGGATAATTCAAACGACAGGTTCACAAATTCAGTGTTTATGGCTTCTTTTGACGCTTTGTGGTTCTACCAAGATGATACAAAGGATACCGAGGATAAGGACAGTGATCTTGATGGCTGGAATAAGAAACCATCGTGTCTTGAAGAGCGGATCAAACCAACTCCGATAGTATCAAAGACGACGTGGTGGAGATCAATGGGTTACATGTTTCTTCTAAAGTTGCAACCCAGAAAACAATTATACGTCAAATGTTACAACTTTAATCTGGATTTTTTTGACAACCCAGCCATTGCTGCTTTGGTCGCATACAAATGGTAAGGTCATCGACGATGATTCTTTCTTTGATTTTCTTTTTTTTTTTTTTTTTTTTTTTTTCTTTTTTTTTTATGGTGCTGCTATTGCTCATAATGCTTATTAACTAAATATTTTATCGCTACTGCAACAATATAAACAGGAATACGATTGGATTCTCTTATTGGCTTGGCAGATTCGCATTTCAATGCATTTATTACATTCTAGTGCTCGTGGTTGCTTTCCTGCAAGTGTACTATACTAGCGAGGACCGTGCTCCCCTCGTCGGATTGTTCATTGTAATTATAGCCATGTCCGTCATCTTCATATGGCTTGAAGCTTTACAAGCGTATCAGGGTTGGGAAAAATACAGAAAGTAAGATGAACATGGATTTCCTGTCAACTAGCCATTTGATTTGCTTCTCAATTTTTTTTTTTATTGAGAGCTATTTGAACCCTAACATTATCTCCTGGATATCCTTCACATCTAGATCAATATATAATTCGATTGATATGTTGGCATTTTTGATACCTATGGCTGCTGCTATCCATCAATTGGTTGTCATTTTCAATGATGATCAGCATGGAAATACCAGGCTTGTCAGTTTCTCCGTCCTGGCTGTCTTCTTGCACATGGTAACAAGCTTGTGTGTTTTTTTTTTTTTTTTTTTTTTTAAGCAGCTGAACGAAGATGATTTAATTCTTCATACTGTTGATGCATGAATACGGAGTCCTCACAGTTTTTCTTTCCTTAATTTTATTCTATTTTTCTTTGCTTGGATTGGTTTTTAAATAGCTCTTTGAACTCAGGATCAACCAGATGGTATGCAAATATGTAACGATCATCCAGCAGGCTACTGAGGAGATCCAAGTCTTCTTCGTGATCTTTGCAGCAGGACTCGTTGCGTTCACAGTTGCGATGTTACATCTCCTTCATGCCTGCCCGACAAGCGGATGTGAGCAAGTGGAAGATGAAGAATACTTCCCCCTCCATTTCTTTGGTGCACTATCCGCAACATACTTTATGCTGGTAAGCCTTCTTTTTTTTTTTATTTTATTTTATTTTTTTTTCTGTTTTTCGCTTTGGGGTATATATATTGGGATCGTCTATCTCGCAGATGGTCATGCTATCTATTTGGTTATCTAATTTCTTTTTTCCATAATGTAGGGTGGTCGATATGATCCTGTTGGCTCAAAGTTTACTTCTCAAGATTGGGCTTTCCATATTATGATGATGATATTCTTTTTCTTCACAGTTATTTTAATGCTGAATGTGCTTATTGGTACGTATTATTGATGCTATCAATATTCTTCTTTGCCATCCCGTCATTGTTGTTAATATTGTATAAATTCAAGTGCAAATTAATTTATTTCTTTTTTATTTTTAATTAAAATATCTTTATTAATGATCCTTATTTTTAGCACTCATTAATGTGGCATTCACAAAGGGTGATGATGGATGGAGATTGGCATGGATTGAATCACGTCTGCGATACATCGAGGCAGCCGAGAATATGTCCTATCATATCCCTGGCTACCGTGAGACGTACGATTGTTTCCCCCGAGAAATCTATTTCGCAGCGACGGCGCAACAGATGAAGGCCTATCAAGAAAAGTTGGATGCTGATGCCAATAAGGAACTGGGGAAACATATCACGAATGTGGATGCACGGGTGGAACAATTGCAGAGGCAGTTACAGGAGCAACTGCAGGAGCAGCAGGCGAAGCAGGAAATACATATGCAGGAGCTTAAGAAGCTGTTACTTCAGAGTACTAGACAACAACGATCATAACTGCCCTACTCTACCCCAGCCAACTCAGTCTTAAACCTTAAAACATTAAAATGAACGTGCCTTCCTATAAATAAGAGAGGGAAAAAAAAAAAAAAAAAAAAAAAAAAAAAAAAAAAAAGGAAGATCAGATCGTCAATCTATGAGATCAAGCAGAAATACAGCAAATATGATGATCTTATGAAACAACTGTTTAACTTTATTTTTTTCTATCAGTACTTGACTCTTTGTCACCTACATATACCTTGGAGTATGTTAGACGCATTTTGGTGAAAATGGGAACTTTACCGACGCAATATGTGTATGTACTGTGCTCATTTGGAATTATCCTGCACTGATCGTAATTCTAAAAAGCTTTTCCTTAAAATCAAAATTAAGAATCCTACTACCGAAGCAACCTTGGGACAATCTTTTTTTTTTTTTCGTCACCTTGATCGACGAGTAGAAAGTATTTTGTCCGTTCAGGATTCGATATTGTCATTTTTCAACCATGATTTTATCGGGGCTGAGTGAGAAGCAATTGAAAACGAAATTACTCATTCTCATTGCTCCGAGGATTAAAATGGAGCAAAGTGTCATTCACTATCACTTTTGGTTTTGATAACTAGCCATAATGTAACGAACTATCTTATTCAAGATACAGAAAGTGCGCTCGATTTAGTACATGTAGAGTTTGAGTGAGTGTCTAGTTGTCAACGGAAAATGTCTCACAAAAAAATTAATCGAACCGATTTTTTGGCGAAGTATTTTTCTTTCTTCTCTTTTCTTTTCTTCTCTTCTCTTCTCTTTCTCTTCTCTCAACTCTTTAGCTGAATCCATTATTTTTCTTCAACGTCATCTGCTACATCAATATCCTATTGCTCAACTCTCCGATTTACCGTTATGGACGCCGGCCTGGGAAATGGTTCTGCAGGACTAGCTAGACCGCTTCTCTCGAATGCTTCATCGCCAGCACCACCACTGAACCTCAGACAAAATTCAAGGCATATTATTTTATCCATTAACAACAATGATACACCTGCTTTGGCCTCAGAATCGAATCAAGGTGGAGAAATCTCGAATCCAGACGACTTGTACAAAATCCCACGCATATTCCTTGAGCCATGCTATATATGTTTGCCTGTATCGATGATGCCCTAATATTCTATCCAAATGTGAACGAAATACCAGGTATGCGATGGTACTTTGAACAATCATCAGAGTCAGGAGGGGCCGTCAGCAAACCAACCGTAGTTGTTCCACCCAATATTAATTGGAAGGTAATGCCAGCAACAATATTGTATGTAGCAACATGTATCTATGAGGCCGTTTTGATCATCATTTTATTTATCAATTATTTGTCGCTAGCGCTTACTTAAGGTACGAGGAATTACTCCTGGTTGGTACTCTATAATACTTGGCGTGACTCTCAGTCCTGGATTTACTCACGAGTCAGATACGCTGCAAATCGAAGCAAAACAGCTTGATCGCAGCCGACGTGGTCTGTATCCCGTAAGTATCCGTCAAGTCGCTTCCTCTCTTTTCTACTACTCTCCTACTAGTGATATATACATGGCTACACTTCCGACTGGTTCTGATGTATGTGTCTACCTTATGGTGCAACTAGGTAAAAAGACGCACCACTGTTGCAAGATTTGATGAAATCCGTCAAATTGGTATGTAGCATTGATCGGCATTAATGTCTATAAAAGGTCAATGACTTTACGGTACCCTCTATAGTGTTAACATCAGCTCTCTTTGGCCTCGCCGAACTTCGGTTTCAGAAAGGGAGGAGTTTACGAGATTAATGCTACATCAGCAAGTTGAGGTTGAAACTGATGAGGATATCGAGCTCTCGATCAACACAGGGGTGAGCTTGGTATTACATTACGTTGAATTAGACGTAGGACACACAGAACCACCAAGTAAGAGAGTCATTCTTAGAGTAACCATTTCCACGTTACAAATCCAACCTATCGGGAAGACACTCACGGTTCTCGTTTGACAACAAATTTTTTGACGATACTATGTAGATGTTGTGTTGTATGGTGGATTCGAGCCTCATCATATCATCGATGTGAGCTATAGCGATAATGATACACGGAATAGAAATAAGAAAATACACTCATATGCACTGAACTCCAGTGGATCGTATGCCGCGACACTGTGCTTCACTAAAGATGGTCAAGGTATCATTGAACTCTGGTCACTTGTTGCATCAGAGAAACGCGCCGTTCCGATTGCACGAGAGGATAAAGTCCCAGCTAAAGTCAGTCGCCCTGGTTCAATTAATATTTCCTTATCAGTATCAGAGTCAGGAGAATATGTCATCATTCACTCTTTTGAGCCGATAGCAAAGCCTTCTACATTAACTAGGTCACCAGGCATGCCTGAGAGCCCAAACAATACAATGCCATGTCATATCAGCCATTTCCCTCCTATCCCATCTTCTAGAGAATTGCGATTAGAGAATGTTTGCAAGAACCTTCAAGGCTTTTACGGCCATGGGAAGTTCCATTCATACTCACTCAGTGACAACCAAGGAAACATGAATGAGTACTATATCGCTTGCGACGGATTCTCAATTTCAGTCTACAGGACTGCTAGTGCTGGTACCCCATGGACACTAATCAACACTCTAGATATGACAGCGGAACAAAATCTGGAGGCTGCATCAAGATTCCTTACGAGCTTACGCAGCAACTACTTTGCATGGACTGGCAATGGAGGCGTGGTGGCTTTCTGGGACATCGCAAGGATGAAGCAGGTCTCATATATTAAAGTCGCCAGCAGCGACGCTGAGCCATCTGTCAGTTTATCTAGTGATGGGTCACTGGCGGCAATATCTGTTAAGGGGCGCGTTAGTATATATGAGACATTCTCGGGTATACACCTTGGCGACTATACCGATAATCAAAGAGTGGATAAACAATTTGAAGTGGCGATGGGTCTTGAGACCTTTATGGCTTTTTATCAGGATTCCTCTAATGATACAGAACATCGAAATATTGAGTGCAAGGTCATTAGAATACGTGACATGAAGACCATCCGGACCTTCTCAAGCTCAATCCATAAGGACTATAGATTCGACTTTCCGAGCCCTTTGAAAGATCAGACCTTTGTCTATCGAGAGGTGGGGATAAACGAATTTGCTTCTTTTGATGAAAAAAGTTGGTAGAAGTATATATGTCTATTTATAACTAACATCGGCTCTTTCTTTACTTATCCTCGTTGTACCAATAGGGACCCGTTATAAGCATCGTCAAGATGGATACTGATGCCATTACTTCATGTGCTATTAATTACAGGGAAGAGTTAGACAAAGTAGAACATGTGCTACTTACCCACAATTGCACATGGGAAATAATATCGGTCCCTGGTTCTAGATTCACTGTGACCGCCAGCACTGCAGAACGCCGTGGGACTAAGTTGACCATCGCCAACATTACGCGTGCCATCTCAGCTGCAGAACAGCAGCTTCATCCTTCTGTATCCCTTTCGTCCTCACTTTTAGATCCGACCACGAAAAAAGGTACAAGTCTGGCAATACCCTTAGGCCCTTCCCATTTAAATCATTCTTGCATGTTTTTTCAAGTAGCCTCGCGCCTTGTGATGATGACAGATTTATGTATTCAAGTGTGGCGATTGATCGAAGAGACTGAGTCAGACTCATCTGAGGTTGCGAGGCTAGAGCTTGTGTGGGCACTCCGGGAAGACGCTAGTCCTCGTGTCAACATGATCTCCAGTGTCAAGGCTAGCGAAGATGAGAGTCAGTTTGCTTTAGAATTTTTGTCTAGACCATATTGCGAAGAACTCAAGGATCCAGCGAACCCAAAAAAGAATTATGAGACTTATGAAGGCAAGACGCTCACCTACCCCTATTCTTCTGTGGATGACCTCGGTATCTCAGAAGAGAATCGGATTTCTCAAGGCATTAGCAATGTTATAAACATGTATATCGATGGCGATACTTCATGCCAGGAAGCCATGATTCAGTACCTCAAGACCCTTATTCGACCATCCTCTTACGATCCTGTGAACCCAATCTCATGTATTTCCACGCTATGTGATTTTTGGACATATGAGAATCGAAGCTTTTTGGAGCAGATTATGAAGGAGTTGCTACCCCTAACAAAAATCACTTGGATCCCGGGATCCAGGACATGTACCATCCATGAACCGCATGACCCTCTTAAAAAGCTTCTCCAGACCGGAAAGAGGCAGCCTACGGCCATTGGTACTGCCAAAGTGATTATGGACTATTGTGTCAGTCATGCCAACAGCTCTCGTAACCTCTCATTCTTGACTCCCATATTTAGGTCGATGGAGCAAGTCATGGTTATGTTCCCGGAGCAAGCGTTCGCCTCTTTTAAGCAAATAGCATATATTCCAGCTACGGAACGGTCCTATATTATCGATAATCACAAAATCGCCTACCCACCAATGTGTCGACTCAAATTCTGGCAGCCACCATCATTAACTCTGCCCAAAGTAACGGATCCGATTATGCAACTACATGTGTCAGCCAAGCTACGAGACCCCAAAAATGACTTGTTTACAGATTCAGTGTTCATGGCCTCTTTTGATGCATTGTGGTTCTACCGCGATGATACAACCAATGAAGAAAGTGGCCAAGCTGACTTGGATAAGAAATCATCGTGTTCTAAATGCCCCACAGAGCAGGTCGAACCAAATACGATAGTACGAGGCGCGCCAAGGTGGAAGTCGCTGTATCATATGTATCATATGTTTCTTCTTAAGCTGCGCCTCGAAACCCGAATATATATTAAATCTTACAAATTTGATCTGGCTTTTTTTGAAAACCCAGCCATTGCGGCTTTGGTCACATACAAATGGTAAGGTTATCAGTGGTCAATCTTTATGTTTTATTTTATTTTTTACGCTGTTATTATTGGCCTTAATGCGTATTGACTAAGCATCTGGCCCTGTCACGACAATTTAAATAGGAATACGATTGGGTTCTCTCATTGGCTTAAGAGATTCGTATTCCAATGCTTTTATTATATTCTAATCCTTGTACTCGCTTTCTTGCAAGTGTATTATACTGGTAATGATCCCACCCCAATCGCTGAATTTTCGATTGCTATTATCGTCATGTCCGTCTTCTTTATATGGCTCGAAGCTTTACAAGCGTATCAGGGTTGGGAAAAATACAGAAAGTAAGATGAACATGGGTTTTCTGTCGACCAGTTATTGAATTTGCTTCTTGGAATGTTTTATTATTATTATTATTGAGAGCTATTTGGGCCTTGGCGTTATTTCTTTGTTCAATATTCTTGACATCTAGATCAATATATAATTCGATTGATATGTTGGCATTTTTAATACCTATGGCTGCTGGTATCCATCAATTAGTTGTCATTTTCAGTGACGATCAACATGGAAATACCAGGCTTGTCAGTTTCTCGGTCCTGACTGTCTTCTTGCACATGGTAATATGCTTGTATTTTCTTTTCTTTATTCTTTTAGGTAGCTGTATAGCTGTATGGTGGTGATGATTTAATTCTTCATACTTCTAATGGATAAATACGAAATTTTTTAACACCGTCCTTTCTTCTTTTTTTTTTTTTTTTTTTTTATTCAACTTCATTTTAAGTAGCTTTTTGAGCTCAGGGTCATCGAGATGGTGTGTAAATATGTGACGATTATTCAACAGGCTATTAAGGAGATTCAAGTCTTCTTTGGGATCTTTGCGGCAGGAGTCATTACATTCACGATTGGGATATTACACCTACTTCATGCCTGCCCGACAAGCGGATGTGAGAGAGTAGAAAAAGAAGGAGATTTACCTATCAATTTCTTAGGTGCATTGTCAGGAACGTACTTCATGTTGGTAAGCTTTTTTCTATTTTAGTTTTATTTTTTTAGCATATTTTCGTTTTGGATATGCATATTGACGCAGTCTTTCTCGTAATATCCATGCCCTCTATTTGATGGCTTACGCTATTTTTCATAATATAGGGCGGCCGATATGAGCCTTTTAACTCTAAACTTTCTTCTCAAGATTGGCCAGTCCATTTTATGCTAATGCTATTCTTTTTCTTCACGGTCATCTTAATGTTGAACGTGCTTATTGGTATAACTTCTTTGATCAGATTTTTTTCTTTATCGTTTGATCTTCGTCATTATTATAACTACCATTAGCTTTAATAATTAATTATTGAGAGGGAGCTTATTCCTTATTTTGCTTTTATTTGTACTTGTGCCTTTTATTAATATCTCGCTCTAGCGCTTATCAATGTGGCATTCTCAAAGGGCGATGATGGATGGCGATTGGCATGGGTTGAAGCACGTATGCAATACATTGAGACAGCTGAAAATATGTCCTATCATATCCCAGGTTACCGAAAGGCGTACGATTGTTTCCCAAGGGAAATCTATTTCACGGCGACTACCCAACAGGTGAAAGCGTATCAAGAAAAGTTGGATGCTAACACCAATAAGAGGACGGAGAAACGTATCGTTATGGATGCACGTGTAGAGCGATTGGAGGAGCAGCTGCAGGACCTCAAGAAGCTGTTACTCCATAGCACAAGGCAACAGCGACAATAACTGCGTTAATCTCTTGTCTTAGAGTATTAAATGAATATGCATCAATGTCATTTGAACATCCCTGTTTTACTTCTAGTTCCTTTATTTTCTCACTTTTACTAACCACGATTCAATTCACTATACCAGCGCAGCTCAATAAAAATAAAAATTAAAAGTAGACCTATACCGACGCCATTTTGGTTAGTCCGCTATCTATTACAAAAGGTTTATTAAGTAGTAGGCTTATAATTGACAAAACCTCTCTAAAAGATATCGGTATGAGTCATTGTCCAGTCCAGGACCACATATACTTTATGCAGCTCAATATTTTTCTTTAGTAGGATTTGTTTCTTCGTCAACTTGGGCTCATTACTCTCAGCTGGTGATACTTTTGCAGAAGACGAAGATGAGACCGATGTTTTTGAAGTTGAAGCTTGCTTCTGTATTTTTGGTAAATATTGCTCCACAAGTGGCGACCTGTCAACGACAATGTCGCTCTTCGTAGTGGAGATTAGACTCCTTGCCATGGGATGCCTTTCTTTTTCTTTTTCTCTTTCTCACACAAACACTTTTTTTTTTTTTTTTTTTTTTTTTGAAACAGTAGAAGCTGCTTCTTGTTTTCGTGGAAAGGGGGTAAGCATGTTGGCTGCATGATTTTTTTTTTTTTTTTTTTTTTTTTTTGGAAGTCAATCAGTCCAGGCGGCGAAGTTGAATAAATAAAAGGTCAAGAGAAATAAGGCCCTCCATTCTGTCATCAAGCGAACATCCACCGAAATGAGTGAATCTGAATACCAACAATTCCGGCTTGCCGACACCATTGAAGGAGTTCGTGTCAGGACTACTACCTCCGCCAACAATGACAACGGCTCGCTATATTATGTGAGCTTGCAAGACATTCGAGTCGTGTTTCCAGATGCACTGCAGTTCAAATTGGATGGGATTCCCATCCCATTCCTTGAAGACCCTGATGGCAACAGGTATATTATTCTACCATGGTGCTTAATGTCCTTTTGATAAAGAAAATGAGAAACCCCGATTTAACACATCTTTTTTATTCTACAAGAATCGAACCTGCGCGTATTGCATACCATCCTTACAAGATCCTGGACGTGATTACAGAAGTACCCCAGTTCGGTAACAGCAACAGCAACAGTAATCTGGCCTCCCATGATCTTTTATTATCACTATCAAAATTTGCTCAATCTTCCCATTCATCTCTTATTGCCCCATCCCTTATTGCCCACAACAAGAGCTTGAACAGATTAAAGGGCTATTGGAGACTACAGAGAAGGACGACGAAATACTTAAAGCGCGTTCGGAGATGCTTAAACTGCAATTGGAGACAGTTACTTCGCAACATCAAGCACGCGACAGACTTACTATCCTTCAAAAGCATGCTAATGCTATCCTTGCCCAGAGTGTTGAGCTACACGATTGTCCAATCCCTCGATTATTTATAGTTTTGCCCGTCGGCACCGCCAGGTGGGATTCATCGGATATCTTGAGGAACAAGCTCCGCCTTCATTTCCTGTGTGAAGGAGAGGATCATACCGTAAAGACAGGCAAGAGCGACCAGGAACAAATCCATCTTGCTAAACATGAAGGATATGAGATTCAAAATAGAATGGAGTTCTTCCACAAGTACGGAACGTACATACTCATCCTTTTACAATGGCTCAAGTTGGAGAAGCCCCCGGCCCCTCTGGTCGATGCTATCAATCATTCAATCGAGTATATGATGGCGCTCACTATTGAATATCCAATCTTGAAAAACATCAACTCAATCGACGACTATGAGGAACTTGAAGTAGTAGATCTCCAACAGCTGAGCACATTCCTTCAAATCGATGATGAAGAGCAACGTGGCAACTTGCATAGGATCATGACAGAAGCAGGGCATGTCAAATGGGTTTGTCTGAACCACTATCTTGCCGTGTATCATGAAAAAGGATATCGAACCTCTCCAAATATAATGATGGATGGCTGGAAATATGACTCGCATCTTGGTAAATTGGTTTACGTATTGGAATCAAGGACTGAAGCGAAATACTTCTTCAAAGCCCTGACCGAGATAAGCTGTGTTTATGAACTGGATATCACACTCAGCTGTGACTGGACCAAGACTGAACTTAAAGCATTTGAGTATGCACTAAAGAAGTCAAGTGTATCGATTCTTAGGCTTGAACTTGGATCGTTTCAAGAAGGCATCAACCGGCCACTACTCAAAAGATCCATGCGATATGAAATACTTGCTCGCATCATGAGACTTAAAAATATGAAAATGATTCATATTGTTCTACCATCAAATTTCATAAAAGATTCCGCTCTACGACCCGAGACACCACCGCACCCTCATAACTTAACCATTGAGATAAGCCCTTGGAGCAACGTAGCAAGTGTATCTCAAGTACCTGGAAGCCCACTCAAGACCAAAGCAGCTTTACTCGCCTTGGGCTTGAAGAATAGCTTAATTGGGAAGGGAGCGCCCTCTAAATTTCCCGGGACGCTTAAGACTATCAGCTATTTCACCGCTTTAGCCTTGACAGACAGCTCGATTGGAGAGGAAGCAGTTCGTGCACTATCAGAAGAACTCAAAAATAATACAACCTTAACTATGTTAGACTTAACAGACAGCTCAGTTGGGAAGGAAGGAGCCCTTGCACTGTCAAAGGCGCTTGAGACCAACAGAGCTTTAAGCGCTTTGGACTTGACGGGCAACTCAATTGGGGATGAAGGGACTCATGTACTCTCAAAGGCACTTAAGATCAACAAAACTTTAACCACTCTGAACTTGACGAGAAACTCAATTGGGCATGAAGGAGTTCGTGCACTATCTGAGGCACTTATGGCTAACAGAGCTTTAAGCACTTTGGACTTGACGGACAACTTAATTGGGGATAAAGGGACTGGTGTACTCTCAGTGGCGCTTAAGATCAACAAAACTTTAATCACCTTGAACTTGACGGGTAACTTAATTGAATCTGATGGGGCTAGTTCACTCTCAATAGCACTTCAGATCAACGGCACTTTAAGCACTTTGGACTTGACGGGCAACAAAATTAGGGATAAGGGGGTGCTTGCACTCTCAGAGGCACTTAAGGCCAACATAACTTTAAGCACTTTGAGCTTGGCTGGAAACTCAATTAGGTATGAAGGAGCTCGTGCACTGTCTGAGGTACTTATGACCAACACAACTTTGACCACTCTGGACTTGATGAATAACTTTATTGGGAGTGAAGGGGCTATTGAACTGTCAAAGGCACTCTTATCCAACAGAACTTTAACCACTCTGGACTTGATGAACAACTTTATTGGAGATGAAGCGGCAACGATGCTGTCATCGGTACTCGAATCCAACAGAACTTTAACCACTCTGGACTTATCGAGCAACCCAATTGGGGAAAGAGGGGCTATTGAACTGTCGGAGGCACTTAAGGTCAACACAACTTCGACCATTCTGGGCATGGAGTGTAGTTCGTATGCGAAAAAAGTAGCTCTGATGCTGTCAAAGAGCACGACACTGACCAGGTTGGACTTTCGTAAAAAATTCATTGGGGATGAACGAGCTCTTGTACTGTCAGAGGCACTCAAAATCAACACAACTTTAACCAGTCTGGTCTTGGCAAACAACAACATTAAGGATAAAGGAGCTCTGGCACTGTCAGAGGCACTCAAGACCAACACAACATTAACCACTCTAGAGTTGGCACAGAACAAGATTACGGATGAAGGAGCTCTGGTACTGTCAGAGGCACTCAAGACCAACACAACATTAACTACTCTAGACTTGGCACACAACTTTATTAAGGATGAAGGAGCTCTGGCACTGTCAGAGGCACTCAAGACCAACACAACTTTAACCGCTCTAGACTTGGCACATAACTATATTAAGGAGGAAGGAGCTCTAGCACTGTCAGAGATACTCAAGAGCAACGCAACTTTAATCACTCTAGACTTGGCACACAACGACATTACGGATGAAGGAGCTCTGGCACTGTCAGAGGCACTCAAGACCAACACAACTTTAACCGCTCTAGACTTGGCACATAACTATATTAAGGATGAAGGAGCTCTGGCACTGTCAGAGGCACTCAAGACCAACACAACTTTAACCACTCTAGACTTGGCACATACCTATATTAAGGATGAAGGAGCTCTGGCACTGTCAGAGGCACTCAAGACCAACACAACTTTAACCGCTCTAGACTTGGCACATAACTATATTAAGGAGGAAGGAGCTCTGGCACTGTCAGAGGCACTCAAGACCAACGCAACTTTAATCACTCTAGACTTGGCACACAACGACATTATGGATGAAGGAGCTCTGGCACTGTCAGAGGCACTCAAGACCAACACAACTTTAACCAGTCTGGCCTTGGCACACAACTATATTGAGGATGAAGGAGCTTTGGCACTGTCAAAGGCACTCAAGACCAACACAACTTTAGCCACTCTAGACTTGGCACATAACTATATTACGGATGAAGGAGCTCTGGCACTGTCAGAGGCACTCAAGATCAACACAACTTTAACCAGTCTAGCCTTGGCACATAACAACATTAAGGATAAAGGAGCTCTGGCACTGTCAGAGGCACTCAAGACCAACACAACATTAACCACTCTAGAGTTGGCACAGAACAAGATTACGGATGAAGGAGCTCTGGTACTGTCAGAGGCACTCAAGACCAACACAACATTAACTACTCTAGACTTGGCACACAACTTTATTAAGGATGAAGGAGCTCTGGCACTGTCAGAGGCACTCAAGACCAACACAACTTTAACCAGTCTGGCCTTGGCACACAACTATATTGAGGATGAAGGAGCTTTGGTACTGTCAGAGGCACTCAAGACCAACACAACATTAACCACTCTAGAGTTGACACAGAACAAGATTACGGATGAAGGAGCTCTGGTACTGTCAGAGGCACTCAAGACCAACACAACTTTAACCACTCTAGACTTGGCACACAACGACATTACGGATGAAGGAGCTCTGGCACTGTCAGAGGCACTCAAGATCAACACAACTTTAACCAGTCTGGCCTTGGCACACAACAACATTAAGGATAAAGGAGCTCTGGCACTGTCAGAGGCACTCAAGACCAACACAACATTAACCACTCTAGACTTGACATATAACTGTATTAAGATGGAAGTAGCTCTGGCACCGTCTGCGACACCCAATATCATCAAAACTTTAACCTCCCTGGACTTAACAAACAGCATTAATGAGAAGGATGCTCTTGAGATGTCAGTGGAACGTAGGATCAATACGACTTTGGCCACTTTGATGTTGGGGTATAAACCAATCAGAGATGGAGGAGCTCTTGCACTGTCAGAAGCACTCAAGACCAACGCAACTTTAACCACTTTGGACTTGGACATCTTAATTGGGAAGGAAGGAGCTCTGGCACTGTCAGAGGCACTCAAGACCAATACAACTTTAACCACTTTGAAATTGATGAACAACTCGTTTGGGGATGAAGGAGTTCTCGCACTGTCAGAGGCACTGAAATTTAATACAACTTTAACCACTCTGAACTTGACAAACAATGCTATTGGGGAAAGGGAGGCTATTGCACTCTCAATAGGACTTACAACCAACAGAACTTTAAGCACTTTAGACCTGACAAGCAACTCAATTGGAGACGAAGGAGCTCTTGCGCTGTCAGAGGCGCTCAAGACCAATGCAACTTTAACCACCTTGAACTTGATGAATAACGAAATTAGGATTAAAGGGGTGCTGGCACTGTCAGAGGCGCTCAAAGCCAACACAGCTTTAACCACTTTGGACTTGGTGGACAACTCAATTGGGGATGAAGGAGCCCGAGCACTGTCAGAGGCACTCATGAGCAATACGACATTGACTGCTTTGTACTTGGTGAGCAACAAAATTGGGATTAAAGGGGTACTTGTACTATCAGATGCACTTAAGACCAACACAACTTTAACCACTTTGGATTTGAAGGGCAGCTCAATTTGGGATGAGAGAGCTCTTGCACTGTCCGAGGCACTCATAGCCAACGCATCTTTAACCACTTCGGACTTATGGGACAGCTCAATTGGGGATATAGGGGTCCTTGCACTGTCAGAGGCGCTCAGGACCAATACGACTTTGACCACCTTGAGGTGGGGGTATAACTCTATTGGGAATGAAGGAGCACTTGCACTGTCAGAGGTTCTTAAGGTCAACAAGACTATAATCATTATGGACTTGGAGGGCAACTCAATCAAAGTTGAAGGGGCTACTGCACTCTCAGAGGCGCTCGAGACTAACACGGTTTTGACCGTTATGAACTTGACCTACAATCTTATTGAGGATGAAGGAGTTCTTGCACTGTCAAAAGCACTCAAGACCAATACCTCTTTGACCACTCTGAGCTTAACGGGCAACGCAATTGGAGATGAAGGTGCCGTTGCATTGTCATATGCACTCAAGGTCAACAAGACTTTGACCACAGTGGACCTGACAAGCAACTCAATTGGAGATAAAGGAGCTCAGGCATTGTCAGAGGCACTAATAACCAACATAGCTTTGACCATTCTGGACTTGTGGGACAACTCAATTGGGGATAAAGGAGCCCGGGCACTGTCAGAGGCACTCATGAGCAACACGACATTGACTGCTTTGTACTTGAATGGGAATCCAATTGGTGATGAAGGAGTTCTGACGCTGTTCAAGACACTCAAGACCAGCAGATCTTTAACCACTCTGGATTTGTTTGGCAAAAATGGGAGTGAATAAGTTCCGGCACTTATAGGGGCGCGCTCAAGACTATACACGGCCATGATTCTTTAAAATGAAGTTTATATGGAATAGTCGAGGGGGTTTTTTTTCCCTCTCTGATTAAACACATTGTCGATTCGATCTATGCCAATGCTGTTGACTGCCCCTTGGTGAGTCAAATATAACGGCCCCAACTAGATGGTTCTTGTGTGCTCAAATATATGGTCAATATAAAAGGACATGGTTCAGCCAATAAAGTAGTCAATGAGGTAGATGATAAAGTGTGACAGTCATCAGAAAGGTGGATACCATTCTTGTTGCTATTTATTGGATCAATGTGGGCGCGCAAAAGACGTGTTTTAAGTTTTAAGTAAAAAAATAAAATAAAAAAGTTAATGCTTATGTATACAGCCAACTTCCTACATTAGAAACACCTCGGGGCCGCTCTCTCCGATTCCTGTGTACAGTACGAGAGTTCTGACACTATATCGGCTACCCCCAGCATTTTTTGCCAGGGGAGTAAACACTTGTAGTCACTCGTTTTTTTCTTTTCTAATACCTTTTATTCCTGCCCTTTGAGGTTCTTCCTTGGCGTAGTCTTTACGCCATCAATCCATGTTTCAGATCTTTTTTTTCTCTCATTGCATATCAACAATTCGAACAAACGAACTTCATCCATCCCCCAATTCTAAACAGAGTAGCTCGGATTCCAGGACATTCATTGGCGAGGGACACATTTATTCGTCACGATTCAACTCGGTGTCAGAAAAAAAAGGACTTGCAAAACGAAGTCTTGCTTTCATTCACATACAGCTTAGTCTGTGTCCTTAGCAAAAAAAAACTTGGTATTTCGGCAATAGCATGAAAATTAAGGTATCCATGGGAGATGAACAATGTCATACATATCTTTCAATGCAATGAAAAATATCATTACTACACTATTAATCTCCTAGAATGACAAAGTTGTGTTATCCGAGATGTTTTCCTTAACTCTGTCACTAAGATGCATTGCGAGAATCAACAGACAGATTGATTTAATTGGCCTAAAGGAAAGGGGCGGAGCGATGTTCGCACAAAATAAAGTTTAGTGAAAATTTTCAAAATTTGTGTTTGTACAAGACTCCGACTCCATCATCTTTGAACATGTACATCATTCTCGTTCTCATCTTGCTCTTCTTCCTCCAAGGAATAGAATGAGTAGAAGGCTATACCCATTCTGGCATTGATGGTCCATCCTCACCTAGTAGCCTTTTTACCCAAGATACTGGAAGCGTGCTTAATTTAGTAGCGAGGAGCTCCCTGCAAAAAATTAAAAATGAATGAGAGTTTTATATAATTGAAATATGTATAATATTTGGCGAAGCATGTATCTTGTCACATTTTATCCTTTCTTCTCTCCCTCTAATCTCTACCTGAGTTCATTATCTTTCTTCAACGTTGTCTGCTGCATCCATATCCTATTTGTTCAACTTGTCAATATATCATCATGGACGACGATCTGGAAAACAGGTCTGCAGATCTAGCTAGACCGCCTCCCTCCAATGCTTCATCGCCAATGCCATCAAATTTAAATGCGGCTTCACCACCGAATCCTTTATCCAGACATAATTCAAGACATACCATTGTATCTATTGAAGATAATAATATACCTTTGACATCCCAGGCTCCAATTGCATCCGCTACTACTTCACAACCTGTCTCTCACTCTTCTGAGACATCATCACCTGCAGTGTTATCAGAATCGAATCAAGGTGCAGAAGGTTCAAGCCTGGGCGACTTGTACAAAGCCCTGCGGATATCCCAGAGTCATGTTGCGTATATTTGTAGCGATGATGTTCTAATATATTCTATCCCAATGTGACTGAAATACCAGGTATACGATGGTATTTTGAGCAGTCATCAGACTCAGGAATCATAGGCAAGATTGGAGCTATCAGCCAAACACCCATAGTTGTTCCGTTCAATCAGAGTTGGGAGGTATGTTAGTAATGATGTTACAGTAACAGTATGTACAAATGAGATGTATTTGAAGCTCATTTTATTCTTGACATCTGTCACTGCAGTGTTTATTTGAGATAGGGCAAATTAAACGTGGTTGGTACTCTATAATCCTCGGTGTGACACTCAACTCTGAATTTATTCACGATTCAGATATGCTGAAAATCGAAATGAAGCAGCTTAACTCCAATCGAAGAGCTCTGTATTCTGTAAATATTTGCAAATCTCCTTCACTGTTTCTGCTACTCTTCTGCCTGTGATATGTTTTTGATCAAGTTTCCGGCCGATTCTGATGCATATAACTTTCTTATGCTGCAACTAGACAAAGAACTGCACTACTATCGCAAGAATCGATGAGATCCATTCTATTCGTATGTAACATTGATCAGCATTAACATCTATAGACGAGTCGGAATATTTAACGCACTTCATTCTTTATAGTATTAATCTTGGCTCTCTTTGGCCTGGTCAACATGCGGTTTTAGGAAGAGGGGTATTTACGAGACTAAGGTTGCATCGGCAGATTGAGATTAGTATTGCCACATACATTCAACTCTCAATCAACGTGATGAAAAGTGACCTATCGAACTTGGGCCTAGATTTACATTACGTTGAATTGGATGTAGGGCACACAGTATCGTCAGGTAAAAAAACTATGGGGCAACAATTTCCATGTTATATATGCAGCCTATTGAAGGAGACACTTACAGTCATTTAAAAAAAAAAAAAAAAAAAAAAAAAAAAAAAAACTTTGGCAATGCTCTGCAGATCTTGTCCTGTATGATGGGTTCAAGCCTCATCATATCATCAATGTGAGCTATGGCGATAATGGTACTTGGGACAGGACTAAGAAAATACACTCTTATGCACTGAACGCCAACGGGACGCATGCTGCAACACTGTGCTTTACTGAAGATGGTCAAGGTATCATCGAACTCTGGTCCCTTGACACCGAGTTACCTGAAGAACTCCAAGATGGTACAACAAAGAGGCACTCCACCCTAATTGCACAAGGGCACATAACTTCAATCAAAGTCAGTCGCCCTGATTTAATTAGTATCTCCATGTCCGTTGCAGCCTCAGGAAAATACATCGTCATTCACTCTATAGAGCCGGTAGCAAAGCTCTCTGCGTTAGATGAGACTTCAAGCACACCCAAGGATCCAGAGAACACAATACTATGCCGTATTCTAAGCTACTTTCCTTCCACTGTATCCAAGGACATTTTATCTCCTAGAGAATTGCACTTAGATGAAGCTTGCGATGGCCTTCGAGGGTTTCGCGGCTATGGAAAGTTCCACTTATGCTCCCTCAGTGACGACCAAGGAAACACGAGTGAATACTACATCACCTGCGACGGATACTCGATCTCAATCTACAGCACCAATATATATGATAAATGGTCGCTAATCAATACTTTGGACATGACAGCGGAACAAAATTTGGAGGCTGCATCAATATTCATTACAAACTTACGTGGCAATCGCTTTGCGTGGACTGGTAGCAGAAACGTGGTATCCTTCTGGGATATCGTAAGAATGAAGCAGCTCTCATATATTAAAGTCACTAGTGGCGTTGCTGGGTCATTTGTCGGTTTGTCTGGTGATGGGTCCCTGGCAGCAATCTCTGTTAAAAGATGCATCAGCATCTATGAAACGGCCTCGGGTATGAAGCTTGGTGACTACACTGAAGGGTTAGGAGATGATAAGCAGTTTGGGGTGGTAATGGATCATGAGAACTTTATGATATTTGACCAGGATCCCCCTGATGATCCAAAGCATCGATTTATTGAGTGCAAGATCATAAGGGCATGTGACATGAAGTCCATCCGCTCTTTCTCAATACGCAAGGATTACAGCCTTAGTTTCCCAAACCCTTTGAAAGATCAGATCTTTGTCTATCGAGAGGTGAGGATGAATGAGCCAACTCCTATTAGTGAGAAAGAGATTGATCGAAGTAAACACACCATTATATCATTTAAACTGATCCTTTCTCTTCCTTTTTTTGCAACTTTTGTTCGCGTCAATAGGGTCCTGTTATGGACGTCATCAAGATAGGTATTGATGCCATTTTTGCACCTAGTATTATCTTCAGTGAAGAAGATTTAGAAAGTACAGAGCACCATGAACTTAGTCGCGAGTTCAGGCTGAAGTTAACGTCAACTTCTGGCGTCGGATTCATTTTGACCACCAAAAATGATGTGCTCAGTGGTGGTGTGCTGACGGTTGTTACCATTACTCGTGTCGACCTGCCCTCAGAACAGCATCATTTCCCTGCACTGTTTTCGCCTTCACTTTCAGATTCAACCGCCTCGAAAAAACAGGCAAGTCTTAAAATACCGCTAGGGCCATCACATATAGTTCATTCATGCATGTTTTTGCCAGCAACCTCGCGGCTTGTGTTGATGACAGGTCATTATATGCAAGTGTGGCGATTGATCGAAGAGGGTGGGTCGGACTCACCAGAGGTTGCGAGGCTAGAGCTTGTGTGGGCACTTCAAGAAGAGGCTGATCTAGAACATCGAATGACCGATCCTCGAATCTACAGGATCTCTAGTGCCATGGCTAGCAAAGATGGGACGCAGTTTGCTTTAACCCTTTTGTCTAAAAAATGGTACAAGGAACTCAAGGAATCATCGAAAAAATCAAGGGGTTTTAAAGTTAAAAAGCTCACCTACCCCCATTCTTCTTTGGACAATCTTGGTACCTCAGAAGAGATTCGAATATCTCATGGCACCCGCAATCTCATAGACATGTATGCCGATGGCGACGCAGCATGTCAGGAGGCTGTTATTCAATATCTAAAGGCCCTTGTTCGACCATCTTCTCAGAATCCAGTCTCTTGCATTTCTACATTATGTGAAGTCTGGACGTATGAAAATCGGAATTTTTTGGAGCAGATCATGAAGGCTTTGTTGCCTCCAACAAAGATCACTTGGATTCCGGACTCTAAGGCTATCGCTGCTCATAAACTCTGTGATCCCCTTAAAAAGCTTTTCCAAATTGCAGAGGCGCAGCCTGCGGTCATCAGTGTTGCTAAAGTAATTATGGACTACTGTGTCAGTCATGCCAACAGTTCTCGCAATCTCTCATTCTTGACCCCCATATTTGGGTCAATGAAACAAGTGATGGACACCTTCCCAGAGCAGGCGCTTGACTGTATTGAACGAATAGCATATATTCCAGCTACGGAACGGTCCTATATTATCGATAATCACAAAATCGCCTACCCGCCAATGTTTCGACTCAAGTTCTGGCAGTCACCATCATTAGCTCTGTCCGAAATACCAGATCCAATTATGCAGCTACATGTGGTAGCTAAGCCACGGGATCCCAAAAATGACCTGTTTACAGATTCAGTGTTCATGGCTTCTTTTGACGCACTGTGGCTCTGCCACGATGATACAATCAACGCCGAGGATAAAGAAACCGGCCATGATGACTTTAATAGGGGAGCATCCCTCCCTGAAGGACGGCTCAAACCAACGCATATAATACCATGGACGACACGGTGGAAGTCAATGTACCAAATGTTTCTTCTCAAGTTGCAGCTCAAAAACCGAATATACGTCAAACCTCACAACTTTACTCTGGATTTTTTTGATAACCCAGCCATAACTGCTTTGGTCACGTACAAATGGTGAGTTCATCAACGATGATTCCTACTCTTTTTCCCTTTGCTTCCCTTTTATACGCTGTTGCGCCATAGCCTTTAATGTTTATTGACTAAATACTTTGCTTCTGTCGTGACAATGAAAATAGGAATACGATTGGGTTCCCTTATTGGCTTAGCAGATTTGCATTCCAATGTATTTATTATATTCTGGTCCTTGTGGTTGCTTTCATGCAAGTATATTATTCCGGCGAGGACCACGCTCCACTTATCGGATTGTTCATTATGATAATAGTTATGTCAGTCATCTTTATATGGCTTGAGACTTTGCAAGCATATCAAGATTGGAAGGGATACAAAAAGTAGGATGAGAAAGGATCCTCGATCAATTAATTACTGAATTTGCTTCCCTGAGTGGTTTTTATTGAAAGCTATTTGGATCCTAACATTATTTCTTGCTCGATATTCTTGGCATCTAGATCAATATATAATTCGATTGATATCCTGGCGTTTTTAATACCAATGGCCGCTGGTATCCATCAATTGGTTATCATTTTCAATGACGACCAGGCTGGAAATACCAGGCTTGTCAGTTTCTCCGTCCTGGCTGTATTCTTGCATATGGTAATAAGCTCATGCTTTGCTTTCTTGCCTCTTTAAGGAACTGTATGATGATGATCTTACTCTTCATACTCCCAATGGGTGAACACAAAATCCTCAAAATTTTCATTTTCTTCATTTTAAATAGCTCTTTGAGCTCAGGATCAACCAGATGGTATGCATATATGTGGCGATTATTCAGCAAGCTACTGAGGAGATCCAAGTCTTCTTCGTGATCTTTGCAGCAGGGCTCATTGCGTTCACAGTTGGGATGTTACATCTTCTTCATGCCTGTCCAACAGGTGGATGTGAGCGAGCAGAAGATGAAGGGTTCTTCCCTATCCAATTCTTCGGTGCACTATCCGCAACGTATTTCATGCTGGTAGGCCTTTTATTATTATTATTATTATTATTATTATATTTCCTGCTTTGGATACACACATTAGAATAGCCTATCTCGCGAATGACCGCATTATACATTTGCCTGTCTAATTTCTTTTTTCCATAATGTAGGGTGGTCGATATGATCCTGTTGACTCAAAATTTACTTCTGAAGACTGGGCTTTCCATATTATGATGATGTTGTTCTTTTTCTTCACTGTCATCCTAATGCTGAATGTGCTTATTGGTACGTGTTATTTAGTGCATTTTTTACTATCATTATTATCACTATTATCATTATTATCATTATTTATTTCTACTCTCTGATACTCATCATTAATTCAACTCTTATATTTATTTATATTTGTGTGTATATTTATATATATATGTATATATTCTCACTGTAGCGCTTATCAATGTGGCATTCATAAAGGGCGATGGCAGATGGCGCCTGATATGGTTTGAATCGCGTCTGCGATACATTGAGGCGGCCGAAAATATGTCATATCATATCCCAGATTACCGGAAGACGTACGACTGTTTCCCACGAGAAATCTATTTCACAGCGACTGCGCGGCAGATGAAAGCCTACCAAGAAAAGTTGGATGCTAGCGCTGACAAGGAAATGGGAAAACGTGTTACTAATGTGGATGCGCGCGTAGAGCAATTGCAGGAGCAGCTACAGGAGCTCAAGGAACTGTTACTTCAGAGTACTAGACAGCAACGATAATATATACCCCTTTTCACTCTCCCCATTTTTGGCATTAAATTAACGTCTATTACTGTGATTTGAGCCTCACCGTCTGTCACTGGAACTTTCATTTTTCATGTTTTCATTAATCGCAACTCAGCTATACCAAGGTAGCAAGCACATCAAATCCCAGCGAAAAAAAAAAAAAAAAAAAAAAAAAAATAGACAAAGGATGTAAATGCTCATGATGGAAGAAAGCTTGAAAATCACCTTCCTAGTGCTACATATATGAAGTATCCTTTTTTATTGCAATTGTATTAAAACCATTGTCTGGAGATGAATACGCTATCAACTTTTTTTTTTTCCTTGATTAAATGCACCAGCTTATCCTGATAATACTTTTCATAACATCTTTACCTGTCAAGACTTATAATAGACTCAAAAGTAAAGCGTGTTTACAACCAGAATTTCCAGTAACTGCTTCTTTAATACATTGCACAACCGATGGTATAGTTTCAATAAAGATTCCCAAATTCTTTTTCTATCGATATCCGCAAGGAAAATCATAAAGAGAATCTTATGTGTGTAAATGTATGTACGATGGGAAACCACATGGTCATGCATGAGTATCCATAGATGTAGAACTTGCTGACCGCTGCATAGGTGTGTCATTTGATATTGCTGAATCACCTTCTGCAAGCGTGATCCGTGACATTTTGTTTTCAATCGTGTGAATGTTATTAGATCCTTTGTTCGGTTTTGAACTTGCGCTACGGTGCACAGGAACACGATATCCATCGACAGCCTCATGATTTTGCTGTTCAACACTATTGTCTCCAAAGACTTCCTCCATTTCCTGATCCATATTGCTCGTATCCAATGGATTGCTGGGGATTTCTCCTGTGGTATCACGCTCAATGATCTTGATATATGATGGTGTTTCTGGAACAGAGGCTAGAAGGGATTGGACATATTCATTTCCAAGCGAAGATCCTGCTGGCGCTGGTGTTGGCGATGAAGGTTGTGGTGACATAGGTGGTAAATCATCAAGTGTATGTTCTGGTATAGTAAAAGCTGGTGTTGGCTTCGTCTCGCCTGCTGTTGCACCCTGAGCCCTCAATGCTTGAAACTCACTGCAAGCACATTAGAATAAGAGGGAGAGGATAAGAAGAGAGAGAATAAAAACAGAAAGTAAGTAACACGACCTGTCTCGTGGCGTGGATTAGTTCTCTTATCCTGTTAACAAAAAGATGAATAGGACATGAAACGTACGCAAGCTCCATGCCAAGCGGGACAATTGATACTCTAGCGACTTTCAGGTGTTCAGAATCAACATCCAAGAGATATAGAGGCTCCTCTGTCAGCTGAGACTCGAACCAGCGCGATGCCGATAGACATCTTGAAGAACAGAATTGCTTGAGTATGCTGATATCAAAGACTTTGCGTTCATTCAATGAGATCCGGAATTTTCCTTTCACATCCTGTACACGTTTACAAAATGAAATAATTTAAGGATGTAGCAAAGCAAAAAAAAAAAAAAAAAAAAAAAAAAAAAGAGAGAAACGCATGTTGGCATAGATGTACATACGCGTGGTGGCTCAGAGCAGAGTGGATATCCGCACAGCTTATTGATGTTACGCTCCTCAATGATATCCTGGTAATGCGATTGCTTGATCCTGTTTGCCTACAATGGATCAACCAAGCAAAATCCATGTAAAGGGTTAGATCCCTGGCTAACTGGCATGCTGGAACACTGGATTCATATACCATTGACTTGTTCTATCTGAAATATCAACACTTACCGCCTCTCCAAGAGTTGCCTCGCTCACTGGATCTGTCAGAGTCAATGTCCAGTCCAAGACCATGCTTTCGTATCTTTTATGCAGCTCAATATTTTTCTTTAGTAGGATTTGTTTCTTCGTCAACTTGGGCTCATTACTCTCAGCTGGTGATACTTTTGCAGAAGACGAAGATGAGACCGATGTTTTTGAAGTTGAAGCTTGCTTCTGTATTTTTGGTAAATATTGCTCCACAAGTGGCGACCTGTCAACGACAATGTCATCCTTCATAGTAGGGACTGATCTTCTCGCCATGAGGAATGCCTTTTCTCTCTTTTTCTCACACGAACACGAACAAGAACACGTTTTGTTTTTTTCTTGCAGAAGCAGCTGCTGTTCTCCTTTCTTGTTAGTGGAATGGAGTAAGAATGTTAGGTGTTGGCTGCAATGCTTTTTTTTTTTTTGAAGTAATGTCACAGTCACATGACTTCAAAGGCATACCAACAAGGGGCTATGTCCGTTGTATTCACCTTTGCAAGGCGTCGATGCATTGACCTTCACTGCAGGGGATACAAATCTCATAGGCTTCTTGGAATTGGTCTACATGAAACAATAATAAAATGTCTATATCTGTACATGATAGACAACAAAGGCGGGTGCCAGGACAATCAATGCTAATGGTGACGGTGACTGACATTCATTTTTTCTGTTGAGTCAGCAAAAAGACTCTGCAATTGAGAATAGATAAAATTTTTTTTTTTTTTGGGTATAAAAGCAGGCTATGGCCTGATCAACTGATTCCGTTTGGTAACAACTTGCCTTTGTTCATTTCAACCATTTAGATTGATCTTATTCCACTCTCACAGACTCTCATTCTCATCCATATTCACATTCATACTCCCTTTTTCTTTCCTTCTCTCTTTCTCATCGTTTTCCTTTTCCTCTTTTCTCCTTTCTATCCAAGCTTCTTTTAATCATGTCTTCAGCAAAGTTGGCTGGCATGTCTAACAAGGGTGTAACTGTCGTGCTTGGTGCTCAGTGGGGTGACGAAGGAAAGGGCAAACTTTCTGACATCCTCTCCCAAGAAGCTGATGTCTGTGCTCGTTGCCAGGTGAGGCTCTCTCTTTCCCACTTCTCCTCTCCCTCATGGTCTGAATTAAGAGTGACAGGAAGATAGGAACATATTCATTCATGGTCTTTGTAACCTGGATCTGTTGTGATCATGAGTTCTGACTTACAGTAATTAGAACGCTTGCAGTAACTGACCTATAGCAATTGGTATGGTCTTCTTTTTTTTCTTAGGGTGGCAACAATGCTGGACATACCATTGTCGTTGGCAAGACCAAGTATGACTTTCACATGCTCCCTTCTGGTATGGAGTATATTTGATCATTGCTCCCCTGGATAAACAATGGATATGTCGATCCGAAACATCAAGATATTCTGACATTCTGACATTGGCAATCTTTGTAAAAATAGGCTTGATCAACAAGAATTGCACCAACATTGTCGGCGCCGGTGTTGTCGTCCATATTCCCTCGTTCTTTGAGGAGCTTTCTAACCTTGAGAAGAAGGGTAAGATTGCTATTGCCATTGCTATTGCTACACTATTGTGGCAAAGTCAAAGTTCTGACATTACAATGCAACGATCTATTCTCCGCTTTATTTTATTTTATCGCTTTGCCTTTCCTGGAGTCTCAAATCTATGACTAACAAATCAGGTCGATCTTTTGTTTACCTTCATCCCTCTCGCCGTCTATAGGCTTGGACTGCACTGGACGTATCTTTGTTTCTGACAGAGCTCACCTTGTCTTCGACATTCATCAGATCATTGATGGACTCAAGGAACTTGAATTGGGACGTGGAAGGTGAGTCATCTTTTTTTTTTTTTTTTTTTCTTTTTTTTTTTACTTCAGTATATGCAGACCATACTATATACAACTTTCATGGATTTAGTGTCAATCTTGCATCCACTAAAAAATGAATGATTCACCTTGATGTTTTTTTTTTTAACCATTCTTAATTTTTTGTTTTCCTGGCTTTGGAAATTCAGCATCGGAACTACCCGCAAGGGAATTGGCCCAACCTATTCATCCAAAGCTTCGCGCTCTGGTCTCCGTATACATCATTTGTACAATTTCGAGGAGTTTGAGCAAAAATTCCGTACCCTTGTTGCCAACAAGCATAAGCGCTATGGCCAGTTTGAGTATGATGTGGAGGCCGAATTGGCGAGATACAAGGCAAGTAGATCGAGAAAAAAAAAAAAAAAAAAAAAAAAAAAAAAGCGCTGTAGACTTTTTTAAAAGCTGTAATAAGTAGTAGAATGATGGTGTAGCCCACAAAATCTGTTTATCTAACCATGCCATTTCCCCAATTAATGAAAAAAGGCCTATGCTGAGAAACTCAAGCCCTATGTCATTGACAGTGTCTACTACTTGAACAAGGCCATCAAGGATAAGAAGAAAGTCCTTGTTGAAGGAGCCAATGCTCTCATGCTTGATCTGGACTGGGGTACTTATCCTTATGTCACTTCATCCAACACCACGATTGGAGGTGTCTGCACTGGTCTCGGAATCCCTCCTCAGACGATCAGCAAGACCATTGGAGTTGTCAAAGCCTACACAACCCGTGTTGGTGGAGGACCATTCCCTACTGAACAGTTGAATGAGATTGGAGAGTACCTTCAGTCTGTTGGCTTTGAGGTTGGTGTCACCACTGGTCGTAAGCGTCGCTGCGGATGGTTGGATATGGTCGTTGTGAACTACTCAACTATTATCAACGGTTACACCTCATTGAGCATCTCCAAGCTGGATGTCCTGGATCAATTGGATGAAATCAAGATTGGTGTTGCCTACAAGGTAGACGGCAAGCTCTTGGAGGGATTCCCTGCCAATCTTAGTCTCCTTGAGAATGTCGAGGTTATCTATGAGACTTTTCCAGGCTGGAAAACTGATATTTCCAAGTGCCGTCAATTTGAGGATCTCCCCGCGAACGCTCAAAAGTACATTCGTCGCATTGAGGAGATCTGCGGTGTTCCTGTTGAGTGGATTGGTGTTGGTGTTGACCGTGATGATATGGTTGTTATCCCACAGGCATAAAGACCGTGATCTCTTTTTCAAGATCATGCGAGTGCCCTTACATCGATTTGAGCGAATATGTTACATATACTAAATAGCAAGAATAGGCGCTCTTTGGTCTTTTATTATTGTTTATGGTGGATGGTATAATATAGAACATTTGTGCCGAATATAACAATGAACAGTTACATCTATACGGCATTAACCAAAAAGACATCAAATGTGTTGCCATTAGGGGATCCGTTTTTGTACTTGACAAAGAATATGGATTGGCTCTGCTGCTCCCTGCTTCCTGTCTTGTAAGCAGTATTTTTTACTTAGAATTGAATGGGATTGGGTCTTCAGGAAACACGTTTGCTAATTAGTGAGTAAATGTGTCGTTACTCACTACCGTGCATTATATTCCTTTAAAAAAAAAAAAAGTACTTAATTGTTGTGGCTGCAGTATTTGTATCTTTCATAACAGTTGTTTTGTCACCATTCATCTCATGTCTGTGGAGAAAAGAGTCGCTGTATCTTTCAATTGAGCCAATAAGCTTTTTTTTTTTTTTTTTTTTTTTTTTGCACTGATAAATTAATAAATATTCAGGAACACTTTAACTGTAATCAAGTGATTAGTCGGTGTAACTGTCCATATAACCATATAAATACTTTTTTTTTTTTTTTTTTTTTTTTGATGGATTGGATGGACTAAAAACAATAGATCAATGCAATCTACCATTTATCACATATAAATGAATACTTGAAAGGACCTTTGTGGATGTGGGAGCATCATCAAAAGTAAGATCAAGTGCCTTTTTTCCTTCTTTTCCTTTGATCAGGGACAGCGGTATCGATACTTAAGACGTGCATTACACAATATCTATATTGTATTTTGATAGACATGAGCTTGGCTCCTACCGACACATCCATCTTGAATCCTATGGCTTTTACGCAAATAATCAAAACAAACTGTGACAAAGAAGAAAAAAGGCACCAATATGTCACCATCAGCATCCCTTAAAACTTTAAAAAAGTAAAATGGGGACTCAGTTGATCTGACGTCTTTGATTGATTGTCCCTAGAAGAGCATGCTAGTCTATACTATACCCATTTCGATTCTTTTCCTCCACGCGATGAACAAAGTTGTCATTGTCGTCATCGGTCCCTGTATACGCTGTACCCTGTCCCTGAAAACAACAAAATGTCCATCCGATTCTATGATGAATAAATCATTGCAGCAGATGACGACATAATTACGCTGCGCAAACAATAAAAATATATGTCGGAACCATGAACATGGAAGAGAAATGAATAGAAAGAAAACTCTTTTGATTTTTTATTGTGGAACATGTTCATGTATTTATATATAATATTTATATATACATGTCCATGTTTATTATGTCAACAATTGACACTTGACAATTAACTATTACTAAGAGCCATGGTTATTTGCCATAACTTACTACTATATCACCATCCTATTTGCCTCTCTCATGTGGTGATTTGTTGTCATATAAGAGGTAAAAGACGCGCTTATATACAGGCCGCGTACATTTATTGCAAAAAAAAAAAAAAAAAAAAAAAAAAAGAAAAATCGGATCGGAAGACATAATCAGACCTTTTTTGGGAAGCGACCGGAGTCTAATGTTTGGTTTATAGAGTGCTGTTATTGAAAATTTATAAATGTTTGAAAAAGTGCCAGTATGCGCCAACACCTTCAGGACCCTGTTTCAGTTATTACTCAGTGAATTATAAAATGTTTATGCAAGATGCTGGGGAACCATGCACTATGTTCATGGCAGCCATATAGTCATTATTATCATTATTGTCACCATTTCTGAATACATGTCATACGGAAATCAGTATTAATTGAGATTCATAACATGAAAAACATTGTTCGGTCATAGATTGTAGAACAGAAACACACTGGATGAAAAACCCTCTTGGATACGTTTGGTATATGTGTGTGGAGCTGAATTGAATAGAAAGAGCGAATAAGGTTATTCTTGCATTCGTTTATACAGAGTACATGTCGTCAGTAGTAGCTATTCGTTGTAAAAGGAAGTAGAAAGATAAAGAAAGAAAAGGAAAAAGAGGGAGATGCAGGCCTTGCAGCTAGTTCCTTTTGCATAAGCCCTGATGAACGGGGTGTTTATGATTCGATAATAAGGATTGTGAACTTCATCCGCCTGCCGATCATGTCTCGCCTTTTTTACTCAATCTAAAGAAGTATCAGAGCGAAAAGAGAGGCTGTGTGTCTGCATTAAAAAAGAAAAGGAAAGAAAAGAAAGGAAAAAAAAAAAAAAAGCACTAATGGGCCATGGACTATCTAAGCAATAGACATGAGCAATGAGGTTCACGTTGTGGAAAATGACACCACAACTGTAGCGCAGCTGCAACACGCGCGCACGGAGCGAAATGGAGAAAAAGAGATAATGGATAGTTTTGGTTAGATACGCTAACACACGGTTGCACTGACAGGGCTTGATTACCCCACGATGGCTGAATTTTGATGGCCTGTTGCGTGCGAAGACTTTGGGCGGGCTGTAAAAATAGGTTGACGAGAAGAGTCATCACTTTTTCCTGTTCCACCCCCCTTTTGCCTGCTTTGGTTCGTCAAAACCTGTGCGAATCAGTGAAGCGAAGATCAAACATGTTGTCAACTGAAAATGGAAAATGGCGACAAAGGAGCTGAGTCCAGTTCACGACTAACCAGTCCGCGGAATAAACTGAAATAAAATACATGCATACATTTTCCATGCTGATTCGTCATTTTTCAATTGATTGTATACATATTCATTCGACTGTGCTCTTTGTTTACTAATCTATATACATGTTATTCAGTTGAATAGATTTCTATCTATCCAGATGACTGCATTTCCTGAATGTACTCATATTATATACGACTCAACATGTTGACACGGTGGTGTCATCATTTTCTATCACAGCTTGCCTCATTTCTCATCCTTACTCTCTTACTCTCTCAGTCTGCGCAACCTTCCTCTCCTCTCCTTCATATAAATAGCTCCTCTTCCCCACCCTTTCCTATCCATCTCATATCCATCTTTCTCCAATAAAGCAGATTCATATATGATTCTTCAATACCACTACAATCAACCCCATTCCCTCCTATCCCTTCTCTGCCTTTCACTCTCGAGACTTCGAGCGATCTCCACCTCCATCAGCTGATCCCTGCCTCTTTTCTATTGTTTTCTATTGCTTTCTATTCATCCAAAGCCTTATTCATTTCTGGCACCTTTAATCCTTTACATATAAAAAGGTCACCACCGCTTTCTTTCCTATCCACAGATCTACAGCTCTCTTGAAATAAAAAAAAAACCTATCAACAATGGATTTGAACTGGTGCCCTGTTTGCGAACAGCATATCCCACTTGCATGGGAGGTAAGGCTTTCTCTGCTTCAAAATAAATAAAGTAGTTTTTCTCTACAACACTATAAAAAAATAAAGACGTTGATATTTATTATTATTCTATTTTTTATTTTTTCTTTGTCCTAAATAGTCAAGTCTTTACTGCTCTGAACGTTGCAAGAATGCTGATGCCCTTGCATCCAGCTCCATTGGTGGTTATCCTACAGAGATGCCTTCTTTCTCCCGTGGAAGTCAAAAGAAATCAATGACTTCTTCCACCTCCCCTTCATATTCTCCTTTGTCTTCTCCTTCCTTGATCGGCATCAACTCGACCCCTGCAACAACAGCATCTAATAACATGTATCCTTCGCCTCCAACGTCCCCTATGGGCAACTATATCTACAACAAGACTTCCGGTCACGGTCGTATCTCACCACCATTGTTCACTTTGGATCAACCTGCAGTCACACCAGCATATGATCTCCAATTGCGTCGCAAGTCCACAACGACCGTTGTTGCCCCACAATATGCAGTTCCTTCCAAGAAAGGGTTCTTCCTATAAATACGCGCTAATCGTTAATGTATGTGAATTAGTTACAAGTGTTGAACTAGTTCCGTGCACGCGCCAATCTGGACCTGCAGGGAAAAAGCAACCACAAAAAAAAAAAAAAAAAAAAAAACTTTTAGTGCAGGCGCACCCAAAGATGTATATATATATTATACTATTCCACACTTTTTCTCTTCACGATCCCTCTCTTCAACTCGACTCTTGTAAATATATTCAGAAAAAAAAATAAGAAAAAAAATAGAAAGTATCTCTTCGAGAATGTAGCATAGGAAAATAAAAAATAAAAAAATCATAATCATCCTTGAAAGAAAAAAAGCGTTTCAATTTTATTCATGGATTGTCTTTTGTCCAAACTACGAGGTTTAATTATGTTTTTGTTCATGGTGTTCCTTCTATGTTATTGATATTTTGTTCTCTCGGGTGGGTAACCGCGGAATAAAGACGCGTGGGAAAGAATGCGGTGAAGTACAAGACAATTCCTTTCCCCTACACCCCCCAAACTTTACTTTTGCCCTTTCTTTTCTAGCATTCCTTACAAGTGGCTCTTTTTTTCTTTTTTTTTTTTTTTTTTATAGTTTTATTTCTAGAAAGATCTCTTTTTGTTATTCCCCTCTTTGTTACCCGCCATTCTGTATGCCTATTTTTTTAGGACGGGCAAATCGAAGGAATGGGGAACAGAGGAAGATTCAAAAGAACTGAGAAATGTCCCTCCATATATATACCATAGAAGTTGTTCTACCGCTGCTTATAGACTAACGTTCGGTGTCACAAAAGAATAACATGGAAATAAATATGTTTAAACTACAGCACTCTTCACTATTAGAGGTTAATGAACGATTCGTTGTTATTAATGACTGTAAAATAGTCGTAAGAACAGGTGGATGAGACAAGAAATACGCCAGTTATTATATGGCAGAAGAAAAAAGAGAACGTGGCAATGTTGACAAACGTGATACCTTTGCATAAAGTAATGCACTAACCATCTGGCAGCATCTACCCAGACGCAAACTATCCCTGGAGAGAGCAGACGCATTTTTGCGTTGTCAGTAAATATGAATACGATCCCACAGTGATTGCTACTTCTCTACTAAGGCACAGAAAGAAACAGAAGTAATCTGTACAGATGGATGGTGATCTGTGGTATGTATTGTCGATGAGGTTGGTGATCAAGAGGACAAGCACAGAGATAGAAGATAAAAAGTGTCGAAACCCAGTTTCCAAGTCGTCAATAACTCCAGATGTTCTATTTTATTCTCAACAGAGGCTACTGCATATTTAACCAAAGGATGAAAACGAACAGTACCCTTGGATAAAAGTGCGGTCAATGCCAATGATTCGACCAGGACCACTTCACCGAATATACGTTACAAGCTTATAAAGCCTACCGAGCTGTAGGAGTCAGAGAAAAGACATCTGAAGAGTCGTGCAAGGGTCTAATCTCATCCAACTATCAAAAAAAAAAAAAAAAAAAAAAAAAAAAAAGTCAAAAAGAAATGAGCAAACCTTTTCATCTTGTCATCATCCATAGAATTGACATCAAAATGGCAGACCTTCAATTTCAAGAATTCCGAATGGTTGACATCATTGAAAAAGTTTGTGTTAGGACTACCTCTATTTCCGCAAGCAATAACAGCAGTTCACCATACTATGTGGATTTGCAAGATGTTCAAGATGTGTTTCCGGATGTGTTGTGGTTCAAGTTGGATGGGTTTCCCGTCCCATTTCTTGTTGACTATAATGGCAACAGGTACTTTATTGATCATAACGCTTATTCAGCTGTTTTCGGAGAACAAGAGAACCCAATTTAACGCTTTTAATTAGAATCGAGCCTCTACGTATTGCTTTCTATCCTAACAAGGTCCTGGACATCATTACAGAAGCGCAATTTAAAGAGTTGTTGAAGGAAGGCAAAGAGAGCGACCAAGAGATACCTAAACTGCAATGGGAGCTAATTAGACTGCAAGTGAAGATCAAAGAGAGGGACGACGAGATGCTTAAACTGCAATTAAAGGCCAATGTGCAAAGTCCAGGTCTTGCCAACCTTCAGAAGAGTGCTAAAGCTATCCTTAGTCAGGACTTTGAGCTACATGACTGTCCAATCCCTCAATTATTTATAATTTTGCCTGCCGACCGCATCAAGTGGGACCAAAAGGATGTCTTGAAGAACAAGATCCGTCTTCATTTCCTGTGTGAGGGTGAGGAGCGCGCTGAAAAGGCAAGCGGGAGCGGTCAGAACCAAATTCATATTGCCAAACACGAAGGATATGAAGTCCAAAATGTCACGGAATTCTTTCGCAAGTATGGAATGTACATATTCATCCTTCTACAGCGGCTCAAGTTGGGAACGTCTTCGCTTACTCCGGTCAATGCTACAATTGATCATTCAATCGACTATATGGAGGCACTCTCTAAGAAATATCCGGCCTTGGACGACATCAACACAATTGATGACTATGAGGGACTCAGAGGAGCAGATCTTCAACAGCTGAGTACATTCCTCCGAATCCACGAAGAAGACAAACGAAATGGTGATCTGTATAGGATCACGACCGAAACAAACGGTGGCAAACATTACAAATGGGTTTGTTGCGATCATTTTCATCCGACGTATGACAAAAAAATACAGAAAGCGTTCGAAAAAGCAGTGGAGATGAATGGCGGCAAATATGACTCGCAGGCTGGTAAAGCGACCATCACATTGAAATCAAAAAAAAGAGCTAAAGAATTCTTCGGCGCTTTGGCCAAGGCAAGCCGTATTTATGAACTGGATATCACATTCAGTTGGGATTGGGCCAAGACTGATCTTGAAGCATTTGAGAGTGCGCTAAAGAAGTCAAATGTGTCGATTCTTCGGCTTGAACTTGGACAGTTTCAAGAAAGCAGCAGCAGGAAGCTACTTCCAACATCCACACTATATGCAATACTTACTCGCACCATAGAGCATAGCAACATGAAGGCGATTCATATTGTTCTATTTCCGGATCTCAACAAGCCTTCCAACCTGCAGCTCAAAGGCTTGCCGTACCTTCATAAGTTAACCATTGAGATGAACTCGCGAGAGATTGGACCTAGTGAACTTCAAGCACTTGCAAAGTCACTCAAGATCAATACGGCTTTGACTACTTTGGACCTGAGGGACAGTCCAATTAGGGGTGAAGGAGCCCATGAACTGCTAGAGGCCCTCAAGGATAACGAGACTTTAACCACTATGAGCTTGACAGGTAATTTAATTGGGGATGAAGGAGCTGTTACGTTGTCAGAATCACTCGAGAACAATATGACTTTAATTTCTTTGCAGTTGGATGGCAACTCGATTGGGGATAACGGAGCGCTTGCACTGTCAAAGGCGCTCAAGGTCAACACAAAGTTGACCACTCTGAAGTTGGGAAATAACTTAATTCGGGATGAAGGAGCCCAGGAAATGTCAGAGATGCTCAAGAGCAATAACACATTAAGCGCATTGCACTTGGATGGCAACTCAATCGGGGATGAAGGAGCTCTTGCACTGTCAGTGGCACTCAAGGCTAATGTGACTTTAACTACTTTGGGCTTGGAAGGCAACTCAATTGGGGATGAAGGGGTTCTTGCACTATCAGAAGCACTCAAAGTTAACACGACTTTGACCACTTTGTGCTTGGATGGCAACTTGTTTGAGGATGAAGGGGCTCTCAAGCTGTTAGAGGTAGTCAAGACCAAGACGAAATTCAACCTTATTACGTGAGAGGAGTCCTGATGAATAACCAAGCAGTCTTGGTACTATTCGAGGTGCTCAGTGTTGTTGGGTCGAAATAAGGCCTTAGGAATGTGAATTAAATAAATGACTGACCTTTTACATCTCTTGTTAAAGACAGCATGAGGATTTAACATCATTACTATGCTATGCAGTATTCATGGACAAACCTTTCCGAGCAAAGCTCATGTCCGCTCTAGTCACACGATAAAGTATACTTCCTATGTCCGATATTGTGAGTATTTTTTCTTTAACAATTTCAACCTCATAAATGCAATCCGTTATTGTTTTGAATAGAGACTTGAGATCTGCTAGACATTTCTAAATCGATTTGCACTGATGAAGCCCATGGAAGGTTAAATTCACATATGTCTGCAAAAAAACTAAAAGGTAATAAAAATAAGGGAATGGCTAGTGGAGGATGTATTTTTGTGTCCCATCCATGGCGAAGGATAAAAAGTCTAGAGGTCGATTATGATTGTATTCTTTTCCTTGAGAATGCTGAAAGTTTTTTAATTGTTTGTAATATAAATGTTCTCCTTGTCCAAAGATGTATACATATATTTAGAGGTCAAAGTTCGCGTTTACTGTATTCATAAACAGCATGATACTAACAACAGGGGTAGCCTGTACACAACATCAAAGAAGTGAAAGAAGAAGAAGAAATAAACTGCTGTGAGCATCATGTCAAAAAGCTTTGATGTCTAATTTGAATGATCAAATATCATGGATATTGGCTTTACTTTTGTCAAAGTCGGGGCCATGCCCTTGTAGAACCGTCGGATGCCATCCTTTTCGTAAGTCTTTCTAAAGACGTCCAATGTTGACGTGTACGTTTGTGGATATTAAGGCGTACCTTAAGTTTGTAACCGATATCCAAAGAAAAAGTAGAGATCAAATGTGAGAGAGGAGTGATTTAGAGTAAAGGAAGTCTTAAGCCCATTTTCCGTACCACCGACCCTTTCCTGTGTAACCTTTTTCTCAACCTCTAGTACAACATTTTTTTGCAAAGAGTATGACCCTTTGGTACAGAAAATGGGTCTTCGCCACACACGATCCGCAGCACTAACTTCAATCTCTTACTTTTCACACAGTACACGCCAAAATCAGACAAGACTTTCAGGCGACTGTCCTGGCACAGCTGCGAACTCCTCGACATTAATCTTGACCGTACGTTTCTTTAATACTTACCAATTTTCTTTTCCCATAGTGGATCAAGGATATGGACCACCCAAGGGTCCATTTAGGAGATGCGATGCATCGTTGTTCTATAAACTTGCGAAACAGGCAAGCGTGACTTGAGGAAGAACAATGAGAAAGAGACATCATCAATAACATTGAGCAGATATTGCCGTTTTTTTATAAAAAGATGCTACATGGACTATGGGTTGGTCATACAAAATGGCCTTTCTGCAGCATAATGTGTCTTGGAGCAAAAACTAATACGCAGGCTCTGAAAATGCACGGACGACTTTTTTTGAAAAGAAAAAAAAAAAAAAAAAAAAAAGCGAAGATTTCGTAAGATAATAGGGGTAATTCCATGTGTACCGTTCTATCACCCTGTACATGTATAATGGTCCTAGAAGTTTGCGGCCGGTAGGGTTGAATTTTGTGTACAGTATATTCGAAAGCTATCCAGTCCCTGTCAAAAAGATCTCTACTCCAAAGTGACTCTGTGCATTTTGCTTTCCTCGTCATCCTGCATCAACGGACAGCTTTTTTGTTCAAGGACTTGTTTATTGGCAAAAATATTAGGGCTGATTAAAGTTCACGCGAGGAAAACAAACATCCAAATCGTTTTGTGTAATTCACAACGGAGCTATTTTCTAGACTTGAGTTTGCATCTATCTGTTGTTATTACTCTAACGGGAACCTCAGCATCCCGCGGTGAAAGAGATTCCCGTAACATTTGATTATGCAAGCAAAGAACGGAAAGTATTATAAGCTCTTCCTTTTTCTTTTATGCTCTTCAATGTTGATCCTCTTTCTCTCTCTTTCTCCTCTCTATTCTCTACCTGAACCCATTGCTTTTTTTTATCATCGTCTGCATCCATATCCTGTTTGCCCAACCATCATGGATGACGGTCTGAGGAATGAGCCGACTACACAGGCTCTTTCGAATGCTTCACCACTGCACCTCTTACCCAGATACACGGCGTCAGGAAATGCGGATGTCATTATACCCATCGAAGACAATGAGACATCAAATGCACCTACCAGCGAGCCATATATAGGCTCTCACTCCTCCGAGCTATCATCATCGCCCGCACTGGCAGCAGAACTAGAGAAAGGTGCAGAGATCTCAAATATAGCCGACTTGTACAAAGTTTCGTGTGTGCATTTGCTTGTAGCGATAACTCTCTAATATATTCTATCCGAACATGAACGAAATACCAGGAGTACGATGGTATTTTAAACAGTCAGAGTTAGAGATCATAGGCATGGCTGGAACCATTGAACAGCCGCCCGTATTTATCACGCCCAACAAGGATTGGAAGGTAATGTCAGGAACGATATTACAACAGCAACATATACAAATGAGATCATTTCAATACTTATTTTGTCCTTCTCTTTATCTATTACTAGTGCTTACTTGAGACACAAGGGGGGCTTGTGCATGGTTGGTACTCTATGATACTTGGCGTGACCCTCAGCTCTAGGTTTACTCATAGATCTGATACACTGAGAATCGAAGCGAAGCAACTTGACAGCAACCGATGTAGCCTGAATGCTGTAAGTAATTCTCAAGCCTTTTCCTCTCTTTCTTATGTGTGGCCATGTTTCCAACCAATTCAATATATTTCCTCCTTATGGTTTAACTAGGCAAAAGAGTATACCACCATCGCAAAAATCGATGAGATCGGCTCAATCCGTACGTAACATTGATCAGTGTTTATGTTTGTAAATGAGTGGGGTCGTATAGCTCATTTCATTTTTATAATATTAACTTTAACTCTCTTGGTTTTGTTAACATGCGGCCTTAGAGGAGGAAACCATTATGAGACTAAAGTTGCATCGGCAGATTGAGATAGTTGCTAGTGGATATATTGAGCTTTCAATCAACGTGAAGAAACATGATCCGTCGAGTCTAAGGTTGCATTACGTTGAATTGGATGTAGGGCTCACAGCAGGTAAGAAAACTACTTTGAGGTAATCATTTGAATGTTACATTTAGAGTAATACACCTTTTAATGATACCCTGCAGATCTTGTTTTGTACGGTGAACTCAGGCCTCATCATATCATTGATGTGAGTCATGTCGACAACACTCGGGATAGAACCAAGACGATACACTCATATGCGCTGAATCCCTGTGGGTCGCATGCCGCAACACTGTGTTTCACTGAAGATGGTCAAGGTATTATTGAGCTCTGGTCCCTTGACTCTAAATTGTCCGAAGAACCTCAAGGCAGCACAACAAAGACACATATCGCTCCCATTGCACGAGGGGATAAAACTTTAATCAAAGTCAGTGACCTTCTCTCGAGTAATATCTCCATGTCAGCATCGGATTCAGGAAACTATGTCACAATTCACTCTGCTGAACCGATATCAGAATCCTCAGTTGGAATAGAAGACACGGTTGAAAATGTAGATAGCACAAAGCCATACAATACCGTCTTTTATTTTCTTTCCAGCGCATCCAAGAAGGCCTCATCTAGAAAACAGCAGTTAGGAAATCCTTGCATTGTCCGCCAATTTCGAGGCTATGGAAAGTTCCATTCATATTCATCTAGCGATAACCAAGGAAAGACAAATGAATATCACATCACTTGCAGCGGGTCTTCAATATTCATCCACAATCCCGATAAGAAATGGTCACAAATCAAAACTTTGGCTATGGCAGCGGAACCAAACTTTGAGGCTGCATCAGAATTAATCACGAGCCTACGCGGCAATTGCTTCGCATGGACTGGTAATAGAGGTGTAATATCTTTCTGGAATATCGCAAGCATGAAGCAGACCTCATATATCTCAGTCGCCTACGATAACACTGGACCACTTGTCAGTCTATCTGGAGATGGATCACTGGCGGCAATCTCTACCATGGGATGTATCAGTATCTATGAAACATTCTCGGGTATGAAGCTAGGCGACTATACCGAGGGCCTAGGGGATAGGCGGTTTGAGGTGATGATGGATCATCATATCTTTAGGATATTTGACCAAGACCCCTCTGATGATCTAAAACATCAATTTATTGAGTGCAAGTTCATAAGAATACGCGACATGGAGGTCATCCGTACTTTCCCAATCCATAAGGATAGCAGCCTTAACTTTCCAAGTCCACTGAAGGGTCAGGTTTATGGCTATCGAGAGGTGAGAATGAGTTAACCAACTTCTATGACCGAATAGGATGTTGATGGGTGTATGTGCCATTATATAACTTACAGCAGTCCTTCCTCACCACTTCTTTACATCTTTTCTGCATGTTAATAGGGACCTATAATGAACATCACTAAGCTGGATATTGGTACTATCCCCTTACCTGATAGCAAATTTAGAGAGAAAGATTTGGAAAGGGTAGCGTTCAATCAAATTATCCGCAAACACAGGCTTAGATTCATATTGACTTCTGATGTCGAATTCATTTTGACCCCCTACACTGAAGGGACTAGTGATGCGCTGACTACCGTCAACATTACTCGTATCAACCTGGCACCAGAACGACAACACCATCCTCCTGTATCCTTCTCATCCTCGCCTTCAGATTCAGTCATTACTAAGAAAAAAGGAATGAGTTTGAAAATACTGCTAGGACCTTCACATATAGACCACTCCTGCATATTTCTGCCAAAAGCCTCGCGAATTGTGCTGGTGACAGGCCGATATATGCAAATGTGGAAGTTGCTTGCAGAGGGCGAGTCGAATTCATCGGAGCTTGCAAAATTAGAGCTTGTGTGGGCATTGCAGGCAGAGGATTGTCGGAAGCACTCTACCGACCTTCCTATCTACAGAATCACTAGTGCCACGGCTACCGAAGATGGGATGCAGTTTGCTTTAAAGCTTTTTCCTAAGAGAAAGGGTGAAGAGTCCAAGCATTCATTGAAAACATCAAAAAATTATGATGGTTATAAAGTCATGAAGCTCGTTTACCCTCCTGTGGACAATTCCGGTACCCTAGAAAGGAATCGGATATCTCAAGGCATCTGCGGCGCCATAGACATGTATGTCGGTGGTAACTTAGTGTGTCAGGCGGCTGTTATCCAATATCTGGAGACCCTTGTTCGGCCATCTTCGCAGAATCCGGTCTCCTGCATTTTCACATTATGTGAAGCCTGGACATATGCAAATCGAAATTTTTTGGAGCAGATCATGAAGGCTTTATTGCCTCCAACAAAGATCACTTGGATCCCGGACTCGAAGGCCATCGCTGCTCATAAACTCAATGATCCCCTTAAAAAGGTTTTTCAGATTGCAGAGAAACAGCCTGCGGTCATTGGTGTTGCTAAAGTGATTATGGATTACTGCATCAGTCATGCCAGCAATTCTTGTAATCTCTCGTTTTTGACCCCCATATTTGGGTCGCTGAAGCAAGTTATGACCATGTTTCCAGAGCAAGCGTTTGATTGTATTGAGCAAATAGCATACATTCCAGTTAAGGAGCGGCCTTATATTATCGATAACCACAAACTTGCCTACCCACCAAGGTTTCGATTCAAATTCTGGGAGCCACTATCATTGCCACTGCCTAAAATGCCGGATCCGATTATGCAACTACATGTAGTGGCCAAGCAACGGGATCCCAAAAATGACCTGTTTACACATCCATTGTTCATGGCTTCTTTTGATGCATTGTGGTTCTATCCCGAAGACAAAAATAATGTCGAGGAGAGAACTGACCATGGCGGCTTGGATAAGAAAATACTGTCTCTTGAAGAGCGGATCAAATCAACTGCAATAGTATCTAAGACGACATGGTGGAAGTCAATGTTCTACATGTTTCTTTTCAAGTTGAATCCCAGGAACCAGTTGTACGTCCAATGCTACAACTTTAATCTGGATTTTTTTGATAACCCAGCCATTGCTGCCTTGGTCGCATATAAATGGTAAGGCAATCAACAATGACCTCTTTTTTTGCTTTCTTTTTTTTTTCTCCTTACGTTGTTACTATTGTCCTTAATGCTTATTGACGAAGTACTTTGTCCATGTCGCGACATGTAAACAGGAATACGATTGGGTTCTCTTATTGGCTTGGCAGATTCGCATTTCAATGCATTTATTATATTCTGGTCCTTGTGGTTGCTTTCATGCAAGTGTATTATACCGGCGAGGACCGTACTCCCTTTATTGGGTTATTTAGTGCTATTATCGTCATGTCTGCCATTTTCATATGGCTTGAAGCCTTGCAAGCATATCAGAATTGGGAAAAATACAAAGAGTAAGACGAGAATGGGTATTTCTGCCAATTAGTCATCGATTTCAATGTTCAAAACGTTTACTACTGAGGACTATTTAGGTTCTAACATCGCTTTCATTCAATACTCTTGGTATCTAGGTCACTGTATAACCTGCTTGACATGTTCGCGTTTTTAATACCTATGGCTGCCGGTATCCATCAATTGATTGTCATCTTCAATAGCGATCAATTTGGAAATACCAGGCTCGTGAGCTTCAGCGTCCTGGTTGTGTTTCTGCACATGGTATGTATTAAGCTTCTCGTCTCTTTCTTGCCTTCTTTTCTTTTTTTTTTAAGCAGCTGTATGATGACGGTCTTACTCTTCGTACTTTTGACGGGTGAACACAGGTTCCTTAAATATTCTTTTCTTTTTCTTATCTTATTACTTCTATTTTTCTAAATAGCTCTTTGAGCTCAGAGTCAACGAGATGGTGTGCAAATATGTGACAATTATCCAGCATGCTACTAAGGAGATCCAAGTCTTTTTCGTGATCTTTGCAACAGGGGTCATTGCATTCACAATTGGGATATTACATCTGCTTCATGCCTGTCCGACAAGCGGATGTGAGCGAATAGAAGATGAAGGATATTTACCTTTGCATTTCTTCGGGGCACTATCAGCAACGTACTTCATGATGGTAAGTTATTTCATTTAATTATATATATTCACATATTAGAATCCACTATCTCACGAAATGACCACATTATTTGTTTGATAATGTAGGGCGGTCGTTATGACCCTGTTGATCCAAAGTTTTCTTCTCAAGACTGGGCTTTCCATATCATGATGATGATATTCTTTTTCTTTACAGTTATCTTGATGCTGAATGTACTTATTGGTACGTATTATGTGGCGCAATTACTCTTTACTTTTTTTTTTTTTTTTTTTTTTTTTTTTTTTAAAAAAAATATATATATATATATATATATATTAATATTGGTAGTTGTGCCTCTTATTTAGCACTTATCAATGTGGCATTCACAAAGGGTGATGATGGATGGAGATTGACATGGATTGAATCACGTCTGCGATATATTGAGGCGGCTGAAAATATGTCATATCATATTCCTGGTTACCGTGAGACGTACGATTGCTTCCCAAGGGAAATCTATTTCACGGCGACTACGCAGCAGATGAAAGCTTATCAAGCAAAATTGGATGCTGAAATCAATAAGGAAACGGGAAAATATATAACTAATGTGGATGCCCGCGTGGAACAATTGCAGAAGCAGCTGCAGGAGCAGCAGGCGAAGCAAGATACGCATATTCAGGAACTCAAGAAACTGTTGCTTCAAAATACTAGATAATAATAAATTAATGTGATTCGAATCTCCATTTCCGCCTCTTTACTGATTGCAGTTCAACTATACAAGAGCAATGCACCATTAAGAAAAGATTAGAACCGGGCATAGATGCTCATGATAAAGGGAGGAGGTTACTGCAATGATATTCTTGGCCCTTGTGCCCGGTTACCATGAAATATTCCTCTATATATATTTATATAACCCGACCAATGATGTAGTTTCAACAGAGCTCCTTTCCTTTTTATCGATATCCACTTGGAAAACCGCTATGAGCGCCTTTTATGCAAATGTATCCAGCCAAAATGGGGAGGAATTATGAATGACCTGGACCAGCAGCTCATATTCAATCAGCATGAAACATTAAAGCCTTTGATAAAGAAGCTTTTGGAATGTATTATGTGAGGAGAAACAGATTGAGGCTGATTGCTCTTTCGCGCAATCCTAATCTTTTTTTTAGGTGAATGATATTTACCTTTAATGGCAGAAGAAAAAAAAAACGAACGACCTTACCCAACCAATCCTGATAATGGAGACAGGACAGATGAGACGGAAGGCTTTTGCAGGAGCGTGGTTTCTCCTCGACGGCCTCACCTAAAAAAGCCTGGTCACGAACAGAATGTGTTCGCCATCATTAAAAAGAGCTATAAGCATTCCACTCATCATATTAGCTATTCCTTTACCTCATGTCTGTGCGGCATATGCGATCAATAATCGATATTTTGATCCCTCGCAGTCGCATCAAAGAGCAAACCAGAGAGTGTGGGCGATGTCAACAGACAATGATGCTTGCATATAAGTATAGTAGCTTCTCTCCAGATACAAGTTTATGCTTACAAGAAATGTCGTTAGTGAAGCAATTGCCACAAATCATTTTCAGTTCTTAGTCCATCGAAAAGCTCTCTTTGACTCGATCCTTTCGACAATTGCAGAAATCAACAAACCTATCTTAAGAGTAGAACAAAATTCTCCCGTCGTTTCTGCGCGGGACAAAGGCGGAAATATCTTGTAAGTGAGGACAAATATATACAGATGGAAGATTGAACAAGTTCAGTTTCTAGTTCTACTGGCTTATATAATACTGTTGGGTGGAATTCAGCCATCATTGTGGGATAAGGAGTAGCACGGGTGAATGTACTCAATACATCGTTCGAGTGCATATTTTATTCTCAAAAAATATGGCCGAGTATGTACCCCTGGTTTAAATTCTTCTTTTCATCATCGATTGAATCCACTGCATCTATTGAATTCATTGAATTACCACTGAAATGAGCAAGCATCAATACCAACAATTCCGAAAGGCCGGCATCATTGAAAAAGTCTGTGTCAGAGCTACTTCCACCTCTGCCGGTAATGCCAGCAGTTCGTCATATTATGTGGATCTACTAGACGTTCAAGACTGGTTTCCGGATGCATTGTGGTTTAAGTTGGATGGGTTTCCCATCCCATTCCTTTTTGATTCTGATGGCATGAGGTATATTATTGATTATAGTGCTTATCAGTTGTTCCCGAAGAATGAGGACTCAATTTGACGCGTCTTTTTTTTTTTTTTTTTTTTTTTTTTTATTTATTTATTAACTAGATTCGAACCTCCACGCGGTGCTTTCTATCCTGACAAGGTTCTGGACATCATTACAAATGTAGAGATTAAAGACCTATTATTGGAAGCCAAAGAGAAGGACAACGAAATACTTAAACTGGAATGGGAGTTGTATTCACTGCAGGTGAAGGACAAAGAGAAAGACGACGAGATATATAAACTGCAATTGGAGACAATTATTTTGCAGCATCAAGCCCGCGACAGACTTGCTATCCTTCAAGAGCACGCCAATGCTATTCTTGCCCAGAACTTTGAGCTACATGAGTATTCAATCCCTCGGTTATTTATAGTTTTGCCTGTCGATACCACCAAGTGGGATCCAATGAATATCTTGAGGAACAAGTTCCGCCTTCATTTCCTGTGTGAAGGTGAGAATCACACCGTAAAGGCAGGCAAGAGCAGCCAGAGCCAAATCCATGTTGTCCAGCGTGACGGATATGAGATCCAAAATAGTACGGAATTCTTCCACAAGTACGGAAAGTACATACTCATCCTTTTACAGTGGCTCAAGTCAGAAAAGTCCTCGACTCCTCTGGTCGATGCTATCAATCATTCAATCGAGTATATGATGGCACTGACTGTTGAATATCCAACCTTGAAAAATATCAACTCAATCGACGACTATGAGGGACTTGAAGTAGCAGATCTCCGACAGCTGAACACATTCCTTCAAATCAATGATAAAGAACAGCAACATGGCAACTTGCACAGAGTCATGACGGAAGCAGGGCATGTCAAATGGGTTTGTCTCGACCACTATCACGCCATGTATAATGAAAAAGAACAGAGAGCCTTAGAAAATACAGTGAAGATGGATGGCGGCAAATGTGATTCGTACCTTGGTAAAGTGGTTATCACATTGAAGTCAAGAAATAGAGCTAAAGAATTCTTCGCCGCTCTGGGCAAGACAAGAGGTGTTTATGAACTGGATATCACATTCAACTGGGACTGGACCAAGGCTGACCTTGAAACATTTGAGGATATACTAAAGAAGTCAAGCGTATCGATTCTTCGACTTGAACTTGGACGGTTTCAAGAAGGCATTAACTGGCCATTATCCAAAACATCCACGCGATATGAAATACTTGCTCGCATCATAGAACTAAGCAGTATGAAGGCGATCCATCTTGTTTTATCCCCAGAGCTCATAAAACTTTCCAACCTACATCCCAAAATATCGCCACGTCTTCATAAGCTAACCATTGAGATGAAACCTCGAAAAATTGGGCCTAATGATTTTAAAGAACTTGCGCATTCACTCAAGACCAACACCGTTTTGACTATCTTGAACCTGGAGGGCAACTCAATTGGAAAGGAAGGGGCTCGGGTGCTGTCAGAGGCACTCAAGACCAACAGCACTTTAACCACTCTGGACTTGGAGAGTAATTCAATTATGAACGAAGGAGCTTTGGTACTGGCAGAGGCGCTCAAAGTCAACACAACTTTGACCACCATGAAATTGACGGACAACTCGATTGGGGATGGAGGAGCTCTTGCGCTGTCAGAAGCACTCAAGGTTAATGCGACTTTGACCACTATGGGCTTGAAGAAAAACTCAATTGGAGATAAAGGAGCTCTTGCACTAGCAGGGGCACTCAAGACCAATAGAACTTTGACCATTTTAGACTTGTACAACAATTCAATTGAGGATAAAGGGGCTCTTGCACTATCACAAGCACTCAAGGCTAATATAAGTTTGACCACTTTGTACTTGAAGGGCAACCCGATTGGGGATGAAGGAGCTTTCATGCTGCTAGAGGTACTCAAGACCAACATCATTTTGACCAGTTTGGACTTGTTTGAGGAATGAATGAGCCCTGACGCAAGACTAATGCGGTTTAGACTTCAATAAATGAGAGACACTTTGATCGAGCTTTGGCGCTCCTCAGGGAGGGGGAGAGGCGTTCAGTGTCGCCTGGCTGACTATGAACTGTTGTTGTTATTTAATTAGTTTAATTGATATGATTGATTAAATCATGAAATGGTGTTAGAATAGCTAAGGAAAAATAGCCCTTCTAAATGAATAACGTTGCAACAGTCAAGCGTTCATTGCGAGGTTACTTTTTGATCCTACGAACATCCCAGCGTAGTGAAAAGCTCATCCTTATTAATTATATAGTATCCCATTTTTCATAGTCAATAAAGGCCAATGCAGAGTATTTAGTAATGATCAACCATGTGTGATCTTTAAATTGCACAAAGTAAAGGCGGTGAAGGAGGTAAAGGCAGTAATGGCGCTTACTTGTGGCCCCTTTCATCATCCAGAACATGTGCACAGCTCATGTCCAAGTAGCAAAAGGTAAATCCTGATACAATAGCTGGCGTTTCGATTCAGCTACATTCTCACGACTGCGCCAAAGCACAAAACGGAGGATGTGGTGACATCGGCGGGCAGTGGTATGGATGCATTTAAAAGTGCATAAATTATCTGACAGCTTTTATCCAGCACAAGTTTATTGTTTTATGATACTGAACACAATTCATAGCTGAATTGTCAATAAAAATGAATACCACAACAGTATTTCTTGATGCCAAGATGACGGGAGACACAAAGCATCCAGCTGCTACTCTTTACATTGGGTACATTGAATCACTCAATGACAACTGCCAACTTGAGACGAGCCGAGCAAACCAATGATAAGTCTGGTACGCTGGTTGGGATTAAGAAATGCCTTCAAGACGTCGTTCTTAAAGCAGTTGTCGTGTCTTGATCGATTTCAAGTTCACTAGAAAGATCTTTTGACCAAATTCCATAAACATCCAGAAACTATTCTGAACAGATAAACGAAATTAGTCCCACTGTCTCTGCTAGGGAGGAAAACAAGCTATGTTGTCGACGAGATCGAGCGTGGTCGAGAAGACAGAAAGGAAGAGTCCTGAAGCTCAGTTTGGTCTATGGGTTCAAAATCTACATCCTTGAAATCTTCCAAGAGAGAGCGGTAGCATGCTGATACGACGTCAATAACCAAGGCCTACTTTTCAACAGCTTTAACCATATCTCCATATTTTATTGACAAGCAGTTCTCTTGAAAGAAAGTAAACTCATTCGATCAAGCAATTGTTGAATAAGTGAATGCAGCAAGCTCATCAAATCAAGTGCGGTGCAGGAGTCAAGGAAAAGGGGTTTGAAGAGGGCACATGCAAACTAACAGGCATATTTCTTACCTCAGCAAGTGAAAAAAAAAAAAAAAAAAAAAAAAAAAGGCTGACTGTACCCCTGGTTAAAAATTCTTCATCCTGTCATCATCCCTTGAATCCCTTGAATTACCACCGAAATGAGCGAACATCAATACCAAAGATTTCGAAAGGGCAACATCATTGAAAAAGTTCGTGTCAAAACCACTCTCGTCTCCACCGACAATGTCAGTAGCTCGCCATGCTATGTGAGTGTGCAAGAGGTTCGAGACGCGTTTCCGGATGCACTGCTGTTCAAATTGGATGGGCTTCCCATCCCTTTCCTTGTAGACGCTGATGGCAACAGGTACTTTATTGATCATAACGCGTCTTATTAATTGCCCTAGAAAGACAATGAGGAATCCAGTTTGATAGCTTTTTTATTTTTATTTTTTTTATTTTTTTTATTTTTTTTATTTTTTTATACTACTATGCTCTATTAGAATCGAGCCTCTGCGCATAGGATTCTACCCTGACAAGGTCCTGGATATTGTCACAAAAGTGCTGCAGCCCGGCAACAGCAACAGCAACAGCGATAGCAACGGCAATAACAACACCGCTAGTCAGCTGCCTACACCGGAAGAGTCGGCGGATTTAGCCTCTCAGAATCGTCTTTTATCGATTCACAATAATACGCAAGTTGAGGAGATCCACCCTGACGACCCTAACGTTGAGCAGATTGTAGAGTTGTTCCTAGAGATCAAAAAGAAGGATGAAAGGATACTTAAACTGCAAGATGAAATGATCAAAATACAAGGAGGACTCATAAGGAAGGATAGCGAGATACTTAACCTGAAATTGAGGCCTAAAGAAAAGGACGGGCTGCTCAAACCGGGCGGGGTACTTGAACCGCAACTCGAGGTGCAACCGAAGCTTAAAAATTTGGAACATTCAGTCCTCGACAGACTTGTCGCTCTTCAAGAACACGCTAATGCTATCTTTACCCAGAACATTGATCTACAAGAGTATCAAATCCCTCGACTATTTGTAATTTTACCTGATAGCCGCACAGAGTGGAACGCAAAGAATCTATTGAGTAACCAGTTCCGCCTCCATTTTCTGTGTGAAGATGGGGATCGTACCGTCCAGACAAGTCAGAGCGGTCAGAACCAGGTGCATATTACTGAACATGAAGGATATGAGATCAGAAGCAGCACGGAATTCTTCCGCAAGTACGGAAAGCACATGCTCGTCCTTTTACAGTGGCTCAAGTTGTCAACATCCTCGTCTTCTCTGATCGATGCTATTGATTACTCAATCGACTATATGGAAGCGCTCTCTAAGGATGATCCAGTCTTGAGCAGCATCAACACAGTCGATGGCTATGAGGCACTTGAAGTAGCGGATCTCCAACAGCTGAGCACATTCCTTCGAATCGATGGTAAAGAAAAGCAATATGGCAACTTGTACAAAACCATAACGAAAACAGGCTATGTCAAATGGGTTTGTTTCGAACACTGTCGCTTGACGTATAAGGAAAGAGAACAGAGGGTGTTTGTGGATGCAGTCAAACTAAGTGGCGGCAATTATGACCCGCAAGTTGCTAAAGCCACTATCACATTGAAATCAAAAGAGAAATCTAAAGGATTCTTCGATGCTCTGGCTAATGCAGGACGTGTTTATGAACTGGATATCACATTCAACTGGGACTGGACCGAGGCAGATCTTGAAGCATTTGGGAATGCACTAAAGAAGTCAACTGTATCGATTCTTCGACTGAAACTTGGGCAGCTTCGACAAAGTATCAACAAGTTCTTTACAGTAGTCAAAGCATTCCTGCGGTATGAAGGAGTTGTTCACATCATGGAACTGGGCAATACGAAGAAGATTCATATCATTCTATCTCCAGAGCTCGTAAAGCTTTCCAGTTTACAACCTAAAAGACTGTCATACCCACACAAGTTAACCATGGAGATGAGACCTCGAAAGATCGAAGCCAATGTATTTCAGGATCTTGCAAATGCACTCAAGACCAACACGACTTTGATCGCCTTGGGCTTGGAAGACAACTCAATTAGGAAGGAAGGAGCTCGGGTGCTGTCAGAGGCACTTAAGGTCAATACGATTTTGACCACTCTGAGACTGAAGGGCAATATGATTGGGAAAGAAGGGGCTCTTGCACTATCAGAAGCGCTCAAGGTTAATACCGCTTTAACCTTTTTGGACTTGGAGGGCAACTCAATTGGAAAAGAAGGAGCTATTGCGCTGTCAGAGGCACTCAAGGTCAACAGAGCTTTGACCTCTATGAAATTGGCGAGTAACTCATTAGGAAGAGAGGGGACACTGGCATTGTCAGAGGCACTCAAGGCCAACAACACTTTAACCACTCTTGACTTGGAGGGTAATTCAATTATGAACGAAGGAGCTCAAGCACTGGCAGAGGCACTCAAGACCAACGCAACTTTGACCACTATGAAGTTGATGAGCAACTCAATTGGGGATAAAGGAGTCCTTGCCCTGTCAGAGGCGCTCAAGACTAATGCGGCTTTAACTACTTTGGACTTGGAAGGCAACTCAGTTGGGGATGATGGAGCCCTTGCACTTGCAGGAGCACTCAAGATCAACACGACATTAAACAGTTTGTACTTGTGGCGCAACTCAATTGGGGATAAAGGGGCCTCTGTCCTATCAGAAGGGCTCAAGACTAACACGGCGTTAACCGCTTTGGATTTGGAGGGCAATTCAATTGGGGACAATGGAGCTCTTGCACTTTCAGAAGGTCTCAAGGCTAACAAGGCTTTGACCACTATGAGCTTGATGGGCAACTCAGTTAAGGCCAAAGGAGCTCTTGCTCTGTCAGAGGCGCTCAAGATCAATACGTCTTTAACCACTTTGAAGTTGGGAAATAACTTAATCGGGGTTGAAGGGGCTCGGAGACTATCAGAAGCACTCAAGGTCAACACAACTTTGACCACTTTGTACTTGTTGCTCAACTCAATCGGAGATGAAGGAGCCCTTGTACTGTCTGAGGCACTAAAAACCAATGCGGCTTTGTCCACTATGGACTTGAGTCAGAACTCGATCGGGAATAAAGGGGCTCTTGCAATTTCAGAGGCACTCAAGGTTAACAAGGCTTTGACCACTATAAACTTGAACGACAACTTGATTGGGGCCGAAGGAGCTCAGGGACTGTCGATGGCACTCAAGGCCAATATGACGTTGACCACTCTGAGGTTGGGAAAGAACCTAATTAGAGATGAGGGAGCTCGGGGACTGTCAGAGGCGCTCAAGATCAATAGGAATTTGACCAATTTATACCTGTGGGGCAACTCAATTGGAGATGAAGGAGTCCTTGCACTATCTGAGGCACTCAAGGTTAACGAGGTTTTGACCACCATGGACTTGAGTCAGAACTCGATTGGGAATAAAGGAGCTCAGGCACTGTCAGAAGTACACAAGGTCAATCCGAATTTGAGTCTCGCTTAATGAGAGACGTCTTGGTGGATAATCAAGCAGCCTTGATGCTGTCGGGAGTGCTCAACATTGTTTAACGGAAATAAGGCTGAAGAAACTAAGTAAAAATACCCTAGTAATGTGAATTAAATAAATGACTGACTTCATGGATCCCTTTCCAAAGACAGCACAGAGATTCAATGCCGTTCCTACACCTTGCAGACTTCATGATTTCGATATCCGAAATCATCATGACATGCCATGCGTTATGATATTGAATAGAGTATTTGAGGCCCCATTAGACATCTCAAAGTCCATTTTTTAGACTGATGAAGCTCGTGGAGAAGCTTAGACTTTCATATGTCCAACGGCATCCTGCTCTCTCGATAAGGATGCTTTAAATTTCGTATTAGAGCAGAATTATTTGGGGACAATCATTCTTTACCTGTGATTTTTTTTTAAAAAAAAAAAAAAAAAAAAAAAAAGAGAGAAAGAGAGAAAGAGAGATGTGCTATGTAGTTTGTGTAGTCTACGTTCTTTATTTTTAATTTTATTTTTTTTATCTAGAAACTATTGCCGCCTCAGATCTAATAGTTTAGACAATAAAAAAAAAAAAAAAAGATAGAGAGAGGGAGAGAAATAGAGAGAGAGAGAGAGAGAGAGAGAGAGAGAGAGAGAGAGAGGAGGATCGAGGCAGCATGCAACAAAAACTAAAAGATAAAAATAAATAATGGAATGGGCGAGTGGAAGATGCATTTCTTTTTTTTTTTTTTTTTTTTTTTTTTTGGCCCCATCTATGGCGAATGATAAAAAATAGTCTAGAGATTGTTTCTTTTTTCTTTTTCTTTTTCTTTTTTTTTTTTCTTTCTTTTTCTTGAGAATGCTGAATGTTGTTCGTGCCACTTTTTTTTTTTTTTTTTTTTTTTTTTTTTGGAATCTCAAAGCCCTCTTCTTGTTCAAAGAGAGAGATTGATAAAATTTTTAGAGGCCAAGTTCGCGTTTACTGTATTCGTAAACAACATACGAGATACTAACAGCAGGGACAACCTATACAGGACATCAAAGAAGTAAGAGAAGAAGAAGGAAAATAAACTGCTGTTAGTATCATGTCAAAAAGCTTTGATGTCTAATTTGAATGAAAATCACACATCATGGATAATGCCTTTACCTTTGTCAAAGTCGGGACCATGCCCTTGTAGAACCCTCGAATACCATCCTTTTCATAAGTCTTTCTGAAGACATCCAATGTTGAAGTGTACGTTTGTGGATGTTGAGGCGTTCCTTGGGCTTGTAACCTACATCCGAAGAAAGAGTGGAGATCAAATGTGTGAGAGGAATGATTTGTGCATATCAGAGGAGTTTAGCAGAAAATGGAAAAAAGAAAAAATGTGTGCGCTACAAACGCCTTAGACAATCAAAAATGCTTTTACCTCGTTCGAGCAAGACTGAGTGGGTATACACATGTAGCACCAACACTACCACTAATGGTTCCGCAGGCCAACAAGACAAAGACACTAGGTCTCTCTAATGATTTCTCATCACTACCTTCGTCACCTTCATGTACTCCTGCCTTCCATCGCATGTATCCAAACTTGAGTGTCTCAAATACTGAAAGATCAATCGCTGCATATGGGAAGATCCCTACAAGAGACGGTCCTAAACCGCGGTAGAATCCACGAAGGCCTGCTCTCTGCCACATCTCAACGGCTACAGATCGTATACTAGGTTTCCTAGGTGCCATAGCTGATGCCGTTGCTGTAGACAAAGACGATATAGACCCAGATGCAGTCGCAAATGACGGTGATGGCGATGATGATGATAATATCCCCTTTTTCTTTACAAATGTCGATGTGGCTGATGCTGTTGATGAAGATGAAGATGAAGATGAAGATGAAGAAGCTGGGCCACTACCGCTAGTCCTGACTGTAGACGACATGATTCTGGTTTTGATCGTCTCCAATGGATAAATGGAGAATTGAGATACCACTCCGGCTACACCACCTGCCAAGAAACGTCCCGAGGTTGCAATCTCGGGTCGGTGTGGAGCTGTATGTGTTCTTGTCCCGGAGCTGTTTGGGTCGTGATGTGAATGGACTGTCATGGCAGGAATATGGTTCACAATAAAGCTCTTGCTAGTTTCATATGTATAGAACTTGATGGCAGATTCTGGTACAATCTTTATAATATTGAGTCCATTGCCTTTGAAAAATGTCCTGATACCTCCCTGATGATACAGATCTATGATTGCATTCCATAAGAGCCTTTGTTTGACAGGAGCGACAGTCATGGGTTTGGGTGAGGTGAACTTTGAAATGTGTTTAAGGCCAGCCTGTGCAGCCGGACCTGTTAATGCCGGGACTGAGTTGGTGATGAGATATACTTTGAGTCGATCCAGTGGTGCAGTGGCTGATGGACGAATGGTATCAAAGTGAAAAGTGCTTTTTTTTTTTTTTTAATACCCAGAAAAATATAAATCTCTTTGTATCTGCATTCACCATCATCTGTTTTTTTTTTTTTATTTAATTGATTTTACCTGTTCTCGAGACTGCACCAGCGATGGCGCCAGCCAACAAGTATCTGGCAACGTAATCATTCTCGGAGGGTGGCATGACAACATCTCCGTCTACGCCAACCTGGGCCACCACTTCCTGAACATAGTTGTAGATTTCTTTGAGGGTTGGTTCACGAGGAAGTAGCTAAATGTGTTTAAAATAATAATAACAATGAAATAATCAGAATTAGATAAGAAACGAAAACGGTTTTGGATTATGAAATACTAATTTGTCTTTTTTGTCTTGTGCTGCGCCCTGGTTTTTTTTTTTTTTTTTTTTTTGTCTCACTAGCGCTCTCTTTTCCCTCCTATTGCAGTGCTATCAATAGATGTAACTAATTGTCCCTTAAATATCAAATATCGCCATCATTTGATCGGCTTTTGTCTATATCCACCATGATTATCCCTATTCCTTCCAAAGATACCTGTTCTCTGTGAAGAAAGGCGTTTTTTTAGATGTAATAAAAAAATAAAATAAAAAATAAAAAAATCTCTTACCACCAAGAAATCACGCCATTCCTCAAAATCAATCGCACCGTCACCATCCTTGTCCATGGCTTTGATGAACAACCGTAGTTCAGCATCTGTCATGTTGATCCCAGCCTTTGCCAATGATGCCTGCAACTCATCTGCCTGGATTTCTGTTAAAGTAAAAAAAAGAAAAGAAATAAAACCTTTGTTAGCATGTAAACTAGCCCATTGAATAGCCTTTTATAATAATTTTTTTTTTTTTTTTTTTTTTTCCTTTTCTTTTGATTTACCATTATCATTGTTATGGTCAATCTCTCTGAAAAGGTTCCATAGCCTCTCTTCCTTTTCCTCGACAAAGACTTCAAAGTCAACATAGCGTACTTGTCCTCCATGTCCTCCGAATGTCTTATTAGTAGGATGGCTATGGTTGTTATCAATCAGATTGTCGTTGTCATATGGATAGGATCCATCCTGATCTTGACTGTTGTGATCTCCTGTACCTGTACCATTGCCATTACCACGACCATTACCATTGCTTGAGCCTGTAGAGTCAAAAGAGCCATCTAGGGACTCTTCTTCTCCCTCCTTTTCTTCATCCTCACTATCATTATTGCTATTGCTGCTGTTGTTTTTCCTACGTAGACTTCTGGAATGACATAGCTGTAATAGTTCGTCCGCATACCGTCGCTGTACATTCTTGTCCGGCGTTATGTCCTCAAAGAAGGTGACCAAAGAGTTGGCGTCCAAGAATCCAGATCGTTTTGAATCGAGTTGACTGAATTGTTTCCGGATCCGGATCTGTCGTTCTTCTCGGGTTTCGTAATGAGGTGGATTCCCTACTCTGTACTGAGGCTTGACAAGGTCTTCTTCTTCTTTAGAAGAAGGCTTGTTGTTGTTGCTGCAGTCATTGTCGGCAGGCAAGAATGTAGGGTCGGAATCAGATTCAATACTTTTATTATTATTACTATTGTTGTTGTTGTTGGTGGTGGTGGTGGTGTTATTGCTGGTGCTGTTACTACGACTCCTAGTTTTACTACGACTGCTACTAATGCTTAAATCGGTTGATTCAGGATTAGATTTTAATTGTGATTGTGATTGTGATTGTGATTGTGATTTTAATGATGTTGGTGGTAATGATTTAGATGTAGCATTTTTAGTGGCAGAGGTTGTAGTAAAAGTAGAAGTGGTTCCTGTAACATTGTCCGTGTCCGTGTTCGTGTTCGTGTTCGTGTCCGAGTCAGAGTCAGAGTCCGTGTCCTTGTTGTTGTTATTCTTGTTCTTGTTTGGTTGCATTGGCAAGTCCATGAGTTTGATAGAGGTACGATCCTTGTCAGCCTCGGTAATGTGTCCAGGACTAGGGCCGGGATCAGGGTCTGTAAGGGAGGGCATTATGATTGAAAGCGAACAGGATGAAGCAACAAGAGATGTGAAGGATTAGAAGAGAGAGAGAGAGAGAGAGAGAAAGAGAGAATGATAAAGAGTAAGAGAGAATCGAGTCCTGTGAAAGAATTGAATAAGAGAGTGGGAGAGTGGAGAGTGGGAGAGTGGGGAGTGAAGAGTGAAGAGAGATAAAGGATCAAAGAGTAAGGAAGAAGAAGAAAGGAAACAAAGAAGGTAGAAAGGAAAGAAAGAAAGAAAAGAGAACCGTTATTGCGGAAGGGGGAAAGAGAGAGGAAAAGGGGAGATCAGGTCCGAATGAGGATTTTACATTATACATTTGTACATCGAAATAGACATTCGATGACATGATTTGTGAAAAAAAAAAAAAAAAAAAAAAAAAAGTCATCTCCGAATGACTTATCGTTGTTGGCCATGCAATGGACTTGTCCGTTCTGTTATGACTCCGCCCTTCTCTTCTTCTTTAACCTTTTTTTATTTCTTTTTTCTTTTCTTCCTCTTCTCCTTTTCTTCTTCTCCTTGTTCTCCCTGCTCTTCATCCATCGAATGAATAAGATCTTTATAAAAAAAGACCTGTTTACACTCCATAACAATGTCATGACCATTGGAATGCAACGATGCTCACTTTGATCATTGTATAGATATATCTATTTTATATTTATTATATATATAATATATATATATATAATCCGATCAAACAAACATAAGCGTAAATACCCATTACAATACAATACAATACAATACAATAACATTAGTAAACTAAAAATAAAGAATACACACAGACTAAGGCACTTCAACTGCTCTTTTTCCTATTCTCTTCTCTCTCCCACGGACAACATTTAAAAAAAAAAAAAAAAAAAAAAAGAAAAAAAGTGCAGAAAACTTCTTGAAAGCGGGGTAAGGCGGGTTATAAGTGTGAAGCGGGCAAAGTAAATAAGCACAATGTTAAATTACATTATACAGCACACAATGACAACCAACATCAGGTCTCTTTGACTCTTTCTTTTTCGCCCTTCTCTTTCCTTATACAGCTATCATCATCATTGCTCCTGGTCCATTGCTTTCAAAAAGAAAGACTAGACATGTGTCCAAGATGGAATTCAAACGAGATATACTTGCTTCTGTTGCTTCCTTTATTTTCCGCCTAATTTTTTTTTTACTTTATATTCTATATGTTGTGATCATATGCATCTTGCTCACTTTTCACTTTCACTTTCATATTTGTCCACGTGGATCCCAGCCCTCTTTCTTCCCTTATAACCCCATCAAAAGGTAAAATGCATCAAAGCATGGCGCATATTGAAAAACAAACATCCTTTTCTCTAATGGGGCCTTACCTTGCTCCCCCAAATACCGCCTTTTAATCTTTTCTCCCTGTCCTGTCGTTGCAGCACGCTTTTTTCTTTTTTCTTTTTTCTTTTTTCTTTTCTTTTTTTTATATACACACAATAAAAGGGTCTATGTATTCGACTGTACAAACACAATTAATATGAAACGTGGACAAAATAACCATTCTTTTGGTAAGAGAGTGTGTGGGGTAAAAATTCCCTTGTTTTGGCAACTAGAAAAGACCCTGTTGCATTCTCCACGACAATGCTTTTTTACCAGGAAATGAACTCTACCAGTTGACAAAATCACTTCGCGTTTTATTTTCTATGAATCACCTAATGCTTTGTTCCTCTTGCTGTCCTCTACTGTTTCTTCTTTTTACTTTTTCCACCTGTTGCTGTTGTTGTTCTCTTTACTGTTGGTGGCTGTGTCAATGTTACAGCTCTTTATTCTTTATTCTTTCTTTCTTTTCTTTTCTTTTTTTTTTTTTTTTTTTTTTTCTCTAGGTGTGTGCGCATCAGCCCAGTCTGTGCTATTTACTGAATCAACTTTGCTTTTCAAACAATGTGCTGGAGGACGTGATCGAAACGCGATCATGTCCAAGGTCATGTCCCAAATGTGGGTGGTAATGTTCTGGAGGATGGGGATGTGTCAAACTGAGCATCTGTAACGAACACAGCACCGGATGCTCCGTTGGGTTGAGATTGTAATCCAACGAGGACCCTCTACTTTTCAAAGTCTTGGCTGAATCCATACTCTGGTGTAAATGATGGGAGTAAGAATAGGGATGGTGATGGGGATGGTGATTATGAGAGTGATGTACATAGAGATGTCTCGAAGACCCTGATCGGTTGAGCCCATTGGGCGGCGGCGAAGACATTGAGCCGTTCTTGGATCCAAAATACCCTCCCTCTCCTACATGTCCCTCAGCATAGAGATCCAGGGGTGTAATGGGTGCTGAGGGCCCCAAATGGGGTCGGAGCATAGGGGAACTTCGAGGCGAGATCCCGATCAAAGGTATCGTCTCGTCCGATGGTACAGTCACGCCCGAAGAAGTAGAAGAGGAAGAAGCATTCGAGAGTCTTCCGTACGACATTGCTGTGGACGAGGACATGGACGATAATGAGGATGAGGAAGAAAAGGATGATGACGCGTGATGGTGTGTGTGCTGAATAGGATGATACAGACATCCAAATGCATCGTAGAGCGCAATCCTCATTGTTTTGGACTCGGGTGGCGACAATGACGAAGATAGTACCTCTAAAGGCGGGGTCGTGGAGACAGACAATGGCAGCGACAAAGCTGATGAGTTCGGACCATGTGGTCCGTCCGAGGGATGGAGTTGTTGTTGTTGTTGTTGTTGTTGTTGTTGGTGGTGAGCATTGTTGTCATGATTTATTTGTTGAGCAACAGTAGCAACAGCAGCGTCCTCATGGCCCTGCACCCCTCGCTGTCCTCGCTCTGGTGCTGCTGCTGTAGCCGCAGAGTTGGAATTAAGAATGGAAGGGTGCGGCATTGGTGTAGCAGTAGCAGGATTGACATCAGATAGTCCGGCCCTAATTGCTCGCCTTGATAGTGGTGATGTTGCCATCGCCGAATTCTTGGCTGATGCGCTGTTAGGCTTTGAAATTTTTATTGATCCCCTTTTGCTAAAATTATCATCCATTGTAAAACCATCGCCACTGCCCTGATTGTGACCAGTGGTGGTCAAAGCACTCTTGCTCTCAGAGGCAGCAGTGTTTGATAAAAGGTTTTGTCCATTGGTATGGCTGATGTCATTGCATAGGCTTACTGATGAGGGGCTTTTTAACGATAGTGATGATGCATCAGAAGGTACGAAGCCCTTACTACGTTCGCCAGGAGATGAAGATGAAGGCCCCGGAGGCGTAAGTGGAGCATGGTCGCGTGCAGACAATGGATCCATGTTGTGGTCAAAGAGAACAGGTAGATTCTCCCGCGATATCTTTGTGTCCTTGGTCTCTACCTTGGGATCCTTAGATTCTCTGGAAAGATGTGGCAACTTGCGGTGTGTAGTCACGTTTGGAAAGACTATTACAGATGCCATAGATGCTGATGGTTGTTGCTATTGCAAACGTAAGGTATGAAAAAGGAAGCGAAAACGAAAGCGAAGGCGGGCTGTGGAGGAAGGATTGAAGAAAAAAAAAAAAAGGGCAAAAGTTTTTTTTTTATTTACGATGCACGAAATGTAAAATGGACGCAATATGCAACTGACTTTAGGTTTTATGTCAGCACAGAGAAATGTAGTAGAGGATGGAATATGAAGTTGAAGAAATGGATGATGGAAAAAAAAGAAAGAAAAGAAGAAAGCATCTCTCTCTCTCTATCTTATCTATCTGCCAAGTCTCTTTCTCTCTCCCTTCACCCTTCGCTGCCTTCATAAAAACCCCTCAGGCTTTTTTTATTTCCATCCTATTGTTGGTAATGAGGCATTTTTTCTTATATCCCTCCCTTTCTCGTTCTATTCTTTTTATTTCCTAGTTCATGCAGCAGCTAAAAAAAAAAAAATAAAATAAAATAAAAAGCGTGTGTGTGCATGCACGTGTGTGTGCGACATCACATTTGGACAATGCGCGAATCGTCCGCATTTGGTAATGTCCAGAATTATCTTTTTTTTTTTTTTTTTTTTTCACCCACATTCTCGCCTCACTTCTCTTTTCTCTTTCTACTTTTCATTCTTTCGCTTTGGTTACCAACGTTCATCCCCACCCTTTCTTCACCAACATTTCAGGATCGTAAGGAAAGCTCAGTCATCAGAAACGCAGACAGTTGGATTAATCTACAGGGATATATACATCATTTATACAAACGTCCTCAAGATGCCTGTCGTACATCAATTTCGAGCGGTTGCGAACACTTCCAACGTGCTCCTCATCACAAAGATCGTGACTATCTCATCTATGGGCATCTACGCAGGTTCTGCATTGAATTTCAACACTGTCATCATGCCTTCGCTCCGTCGCTTCGCCTGGAACTCGTCGCTTTCAGTCTGGGGAGAAATGTTTATTCTTTCTAAACGTAACTTTTTTCTTTTTCTTTTCCTTTTTCTCTTTCTTTTCTTTCCTCAATCCTTGTTGTCGATGATCATCTTTCAGCTAACATATCGTTTTTTTTTTTATTTATTTATTTATTTATTTATTTTTTTTTTTTTTTTTTTTCATAAAGCCATACAATTCACCTCTATAATGACCAGTGTAATCGGCGGATCAATCTTATTCTATCAAACCCGGAACCCTTACTATCTTGCAGGTGCAGCCATGATGGGCTCGATCTTGTTCTACACAAACGTTTTATTACATCCGATTCATGCCCACTTGTTGGATATTCGTAAACATTCACGGGAAGAACCTTCAGTCGAAGAAATGTTGATTCAATGGGATGCAATCCATTTCGGAAGGACTTTACTCAGCTATGGCGCCATGGTCGTTACTCTCTATGCAGCCTTAAGTGGACCTGGTTATACGCGAGTATCATTGTGAATGCTATATAAAAAAAAATAAAAAAAAAAAAAATAGACGAAGGGAGAGTGAGAGAGTGAAGAAGAAAACGGAGGAGAATGTGAAAAGCATCCTCTTCTGAGAGGGGAAAATACTCTGTCCTTCTTCCGCTCTGCTGCTTTCCCTCATTGTAAATAAACGATGATTTCATGATTGCATGATTTGCGCATGCATATGGCCCGGAATAAAAGAACGAAATCCCCCAACATTCGAAAACAGCGACAGCAACAGCAACAGCAACAGCAACAGCAACAGCAACAGCAACAGCAACAGCAACAGCAACAGCAACAGCAACAATAACTGCTGGACCAGGACAGCAGCAGTAATAGAGCAAGTATACAACTAGGACAAAAGAACCATTTTTACTCGTTTTTGAAAGATGATGAGATTAAAAACTTATTCCCACGCTTAATCCCTTCCCTCCTCTTCTGTTCACTTTATCGACATCATCGACAGGAACAATGAGCGAGCGATTGACCAACAAACAAAAGATTGTCCTTATCCCTATCCTTCTTTCTCTCTTGTGCAACCAGGGTTTAGTCATAGAGAATGTATAACATTTACACACAAATTTAAAAAAAAAAAAAAAAAAAAAAAAGTCAATGCCAATATGGTCATAGCTTTAAAACACCTGCTCTGCTTTTCGCTTTTTGCTTTTGCAATTCCTCTCTTTCCATTATAATTGCTCATTCACTCATTCACCCATTCACTCATTCAGTTTTAAATTCATATAAAAATAAATGGGACAAAGTTTCAACCTCCAGGGAATCTTGCAAGCATTCCGTGTCTTGGCATCACCTCGACTCATGGTACCTCACTTAATTGTCCGAGGTACTTTTTTTTTTTTTTTAAATAAAAAAAAAAAAAAAAAAGAAAGAAAGAAAGAAAAAGCATTCAGTTAAACACGACTCAGGAAAAATGGAGTGTAACACGATTATGAATTATGAATTATTAATTATTCATAATAAAATACTATTGCAAAAAAAATAGATGTCCGTGATATCAATTTTGAACAACTTCATAGGTCTGGCATTATTGCCATCGCATTCGATAAAGACAATTGCTTGACGCGACCTTATGGCCATGATCTACATCCACCATTCAAGGTTAGATGAGCATCAGTGTCACCATATATGAAAGGAGCATAGAGCAAAAAAAAAAAAAAAAAAAAAGCATCCCTGTATAACAAACAATTCATTAACTTTTTTTTTTTTTTTTTTTTTCCTACCGATATGCATTACATTACATTACACAAAATAAAAAAAAAAAAAAAAAATAGGATGCATGGAAAAGATGTAGAGATGTTTATAAAGATCAAGTCATTATCGTCTCTAATTCTGCAGGAACCAAGGATGATCAGGACCATCAACTCGCTAAAGCTATCGAAACATCTCTTTCAGTCCCTGTCCTGCGTCATGAACAGAAAAAACCCTCAGGCGGTGATGAACTTTTGCGGCATTTCAGTGGCATCAAACCCTCTCGGGTCGCTATCGTCGGTGACAGAGCCCTAACCGACGTTGTCTTTGGTAATAACTATGGCATGTTCACCATCCTCACCAGAGACGTCGTCACAGAGGAAGGTGATAACCCCATGGCCATTCGAGTAAGTTGAGAAGAAAGAATCCTTGTATGAGAGAAAGCGAGACAGAAAGAGCATGGTGGAAAGTGAAAAAAGGACACATTTTTATAATTCTATATTTCCATATTTGGATTAAATTAGATCCGCAGAATGGAGCATCGCGTATTGGCGTTCTTGGACAGGATCAACATCAAAGCACGTCCTCATCCTATCTCAGTTGATCCATATAAAGTCATAACCCAACCACCTCCTCCATCTCAAGACCAAAGAGAAAGCAAAAACACAGGCGATCATTGACCATGTCAGGTCTCTAAAGGCTGAAAAGTGAAGATAACATAGACTAAAACCGTAGAGACAAATGTAAAAAAAAAAAAATAATAATAATAAAAAAAAATAAAATAAAATAATAAACTGAAAAGGCTGGCTACATTTTTCACTTCCTTTGCTCCTACTTCTACTTGAGAGAGGCCTTGTAACGTTAGCTGGCAGTGTATTGTCCTCCTAGTTATGAACATACCCAGTAGCCATATAGAGAACGCATCTGTGCCTATTAGCTGTTAAACACGCCCTATTTTGTGCTGTGTAACTTTGCGACAGCAGAGGGTAGTATTGGCGGCATCAACACATTATCGATGCGGCGTGGTATCGGTGGCATCGACACCCCAAGATATTGGCATAGACTATAAACAACATTACAAAGATGTGTGTCATTTAAAATATGGAATAGTATGCATTTATGTGTTCGTGGTTTCCTCTATCCCTCGGGAAGTCGGAACAAATGCTGCTCGTTCTTTTTGGTTGTGTCTTTTTAATTATAGAGTATAAAGTTCCATTAAGCATATGCACTACGATCAGCACAAGTCTTCGAAGGGTACGCAACATAAACAGAGCAGTGTTTATTGACTATCAATTGGAACGTAGAACGGGCAAATTTGCCCATTTAGCTTTCATCAACTCATGAACAGGCCAGCTCCAGTTCCTACAAGAGAGAAAACAGCCGGCTATTGGATTCTTATGACCCATATGAGGCCACAGTTATGGGTGCGTAAGAGCAACGTCGGTGTTCCGGCCTCTCGATTTGCATGCCAAGGATGCAAACAAAAAAATCAGCAAGGACCAATCAGCAGTAAAAATCAACAAGCAAAAATCAATATCAATAAAAATCAATCAGTAGAAAACTATTAAAATCCATTTATCAAGCCATGTCTCTCTGCGCATTTCCCAATTTTCTCCTTCTTCTACCTAGACTAAAGACAACCAAGTGCTTATCTCTATTATTCTCTACTTCCTTCATGGTTTCTTTTTTGCTGAGATTTGTTGCCGAGTCATCCTCCATACTGATCTAAAAAAATGTTTTTTTTTAAAAAAAAAAAAAAATAAAAAAAAAAAACGGCGGGAAGTGCCTTGCGCATATGGCATCTCAAATGTGGCTCAAGAAGTTTAAACCCATCACGGTGACAGTGAGGACTGCGAGGGTTTCCGCGTTCGCCCCGCGAAGCGCTCGAGAAAGCAGTTATTGAGGAGATCGACTCTCCCTTCACACCTTTCCAAGTTTGTAAATGAAAGGATCTTAGTTTTCATATGCTCGAGCAATGGTATTCTTCTGCCCATGAAAATTTAGACTAATTTCGACTTGTACATGTAACAAATAATATTATATCGAGATTGGGCGTGTTCTCTATGTGGCTGCTGGGTAACTTACACACACACCTAAATGAATGACCTCCTTAGACTCGTCACCAGCCTGAGGACGAAGTTTATGTGCACATGCACATGCTGAAAGGCAAACGTGTCTTGCTCTGGCAGACACTTACTCTCTCAGGCTGGGACCAAACTTGACATTTTGGCTGGGAGGTCTCTTTTTTTTTAAATTTGAAAAAATTTCCAAGTCAAACACACCGCTAGGAAAGGCTCTTTTTTTTTCTGCCATTCTCGCCACAGAAAATGGCTTTTTTTTTTTTTTTTTTTTTTTTTTCAAAGTCCAGACTAGGATATTGATTTGATTGAGAACGAACGAGGAATGAGAAAAAAGAATGGTATATTTCGCGTAAAAAGAGTCATCATGCTCTAATTAATCAATTAATTACCTTTAATTAAGATAGTGTGCTTAATAAGGTCAGAGAGATGGAAACGAGAATTGTGGAGTAGATTCAAATGTTAGAATAATAAAATGTTAGAATAATAGATGGCAATGCAGATGATGGAAACAAGAGATGATTGGTAAAAATGAGGCTAGTGATTTGGGTGTGTGTAGGACCGATTAAAAAGCGCCATCCCGTTTGTCAAAAGGGCAAGTGGATAGTGATGGCTTCGTTCATAAAGGATGAAGGATTGTAAAGGATACTCAATAGATATGGTATTTTCATTACAAGACAAAATTCCTTTCACTTGATTGACATTCGACTCTTTTCTTCATGCTTGAACCTCGGCGATCCTCCTGCATATGCGGTATTGATGCGAGTTTTTATGACATGCTGTCCCGCATGTTTTAAATATCTAGGTGTTGCCTTAACACTCTGATCGTTGTTGATAACGAGCTCCTAAACTTTAAGCTTGACGTGTATGTCGCCTGGGACCATGGAACGGAGGAATGTAATATTGTCACTTTTCTCCGAGGTTTGATCGGTTTCTCTTCAAGCATGATCCAGTAAATATTATCAATCATCTCCTTGAATGATGCTTGCTTGATCGAATGCTCCTCTGATGTGACCTGGAATGGCTTGTCGGGCCCCAACACAAAACTTATGGGTGGAAAGATAGGAATAAACAATAGAAACAACTTGCCACCTGCTTGAGAAAATTCTGATGATGCAGCTGCGGCAATCCGCTTGGTGTGCTCACTTCTCCTTGCTCAGGTTTATTGAATAGCGATATTTTAATTTATCTATTAGTGCTATATTACAAAATTGTGTCTGTGCCATTGTCATAAACAATGGCGAGTAAAAAGAAGTAAAAGAAACGATCGCTACTTTTTCCTTGGTCCCTTATCCCTGCTTGGCCTATTGGACTTGTCGTCCTCCGCTTGAGTCGACTCACTTTTTCTTTTATTTGATCCACCGGGTTTGCGCAGTTCTTCCCTATTCCATAGCTTGAGCTTTATCGACAATTCACTTGATGTCCCCCTTGCCTGTGGTTCTTTGGGCTTGCTTCCTTCTCCCTCATCCTCCACAGCTCGAGTCAATTCTGACTTCTTGAGGGACTCCCTTGCACTTTCAAGGAAGTTCAACAAGCTAATATTGAGTACGTCGTTTCTATTCGTTTGTCTTTGATGACAGGGGCTTCTTTGACTTTAGCTAGCGAATAATCACCCTGTTCGTGATAAGACAACATGATAAGGCAACGTGATAAGTAAGGTCTAAACAACAGCAACAAGGATATGCCATTCGAGCAAAAGCCGAGAGAAGACGGTGATGAGAGGTGTTCTTTGATGCAATTATGGCAAGTTGTATTGTGGGCATCCTTAATTCTTGACCTTATCGCCGATTTTTGACTGTACGGAACCAGGATAATATTTACCCTCCGATTCTAGTACAAAGACGATATCTGGTCCAGGTGGGTTCTCTTTTGGAAACAAAAAAGAGCGAGATTAACTTGGATTCATGTATGGAGTCTTTGTTACAGTAAGTATCTAAGAATTCGTTCATTGTTGTAATTCTGAAATACTCATAATGTGTGCCCTTTGTGCCAGACGTAGGGGCGTCTAGCAACACACTATTAACCAATTTAGCCAATCAAGGGTCATCCACTTCAAACAAGTTAATTGCTGCTATAAATGATATTGGCTCAACGATAATTGTAAACTCCTTCTTCCTTTGATTAACGACAATTCGAGCAAACGAAGCCTCGACCGGAACAGGCTCATTGTGCTCCAATATCAAGTCCTTACTATATAGTAATCTATTCATTCTTTACGGTTCGACCGAAGGTTTCCCTGATGTCGACATTGGTTTTAATTCCTGCATCCCCTTTGTTAATACGCTTCAGAATTCTAGATTACTAATGGCATAGGTTACCAGATTCTTTATATCCCGGATCAGTGAGCGACCACACCAGGCCCTTGATTTCTTGCTTCCAAGGCCTGCATCGGCACGTCCAATGAGGTTTTCTATTATTGTGATCATTGGACGGAGACGACCACAGGGCCAAGCATATAGCATCTCGATTGCTTGATCATTAAAATGGCCTCTCCGCTTTGATGCAGAGCTTGAGTAACTTTATTTCTCCAAATATCGCACAAGTGTCTTGAAGTATGTCCGGACTTTTGCTTGATTATCCCATCTAGGAAACGATACTGCACTCTTGAACCTCGAGTCATCGAGAACTTCTCGATATTCCTTGAAGCTTTGCCAGTTCCCTTAACCCAAGCAGGATCATAAATACAAAAGCCTATCCCGCAAGGAACTATGCAAATTCGTGGTGAATCCTCTGATAAACCCTCCAATCCATGAAAGAATGCTGATAATATTCGTCGCATAGTGTCGTCGTTATTAATACACTGGTATTTAGCCTCCCCTCCCCATATCCTGCGCCTCGTTCAAAACAACCAAAAACCTAGAGTTGCTTTGATGCCGCTCCGAAAGGACCCTGATTAGATTGTCAAACCAATCTTGCAGGAGCTTGTCAAGGCAATTAAAGCCAACTCCACCAAGTAATTCTGCTACTTTTGTGAAGAACGCTAGGAATAAATCTGTCCTGGATGGAACCGAGTTTCCTCAATGAATTTCTCCAAGGACCTGTGGACACACTTGCAATAGCATCCATTGGCTAGGCGTCATTCTACCTTCGGACAAGTAAAAAGGGTAAATTGATGAGTATCAAATATAAAACATAAAGGCATTTTTGCTTACGTTCTTCAAGGGGTATACGAAAACCAAACTGCGATTAACCGCCTATGAACGCAAGACACAGAACATTTGGTGAGATTATAAACAAGCGTGGATATCCCAGACATCAAGGACCTTTCCTCCTAATCTCCCATCCGTCTAGCATGGCTCCCAAGGTAACTGATGTGAGAGGGAATGATTCTGGCGAGATTGATGCCCTCAACAGCATGTAGCATTAATATACCGAGAAATATTAATATATTGACGACGACACAATCCAAAATTGTATCACATTTTACCGGTCAAGCGCGTGGCAGCCTTGGCCACATTCTTGATGTTTTTTTATTCCATGTCCCTGGACGCCTAGAGATTCAAGACGCGCCGCCTTCACATACTGACACTGAATTGGCCGAACATACAACAAATATGATCTCATTGGCCACAGGTTGCCATCCCATGCACGCGCACCATGGGACATTTATGTCTTTAGAGTGGAGCTGTCATCCTAGCTCCCGGTAAACGTTTTGGCGCCC